AGATATTAAAAAGCTGAGTGATGGATCTGAAAAGAAGATGACGAGCTGATCGAAAGGATTCCAGTAAGAGTAAGATAGATAGATCAAGTATGTGTATAGTCCAGTCCTTGAATGGGTCTAGTATAGTATAAAAAGTGTATAAGAGTGGATAGTATAAGAGAAAAAGGGAAACATCAAGGGGGAAAACAGAAGAAACTAGGGCTTTTTCGGGCCAAGAGTCCAAAATATAATCAAAATGTTAAAATGTTAAAATCTCAAATCTCAAATATAAAACATTCAAAGCCCCAAAGTCATATAATATGATCGTCGATCGAGGATCGACCCCTAAACTCCATTTGGCGCTATAATCGGGAACCCAGTGCAATGGTTCCTTGGCCTCGGGATTTTGGGGGAGTTTTTTGACATTTTTGACATTTATTGGATTTATCGGATTTTTTTTAGGTCTATTTTATTTTTCATTTTATTTAGGCGTTCAGCTCTGAAGGTCAGGAGGTATAGATTTTTTTTCCTTTTTTCTTTTTTTTGCCTCTCTCTCTCTCTCTGTTGTTGATTATCTAGTGTGTAACACTGTCTATGTTGCCTGGGCTGATAATGAAGGAGAGTAAACATGAGACAAAATATTCTCCCCTTGCGTAGAATGTAGAAAGGGAAAATGGAAGGGAAAAAAAAAAGCAAAAGTCCCTAAAAAGTATAACTAAACGCAACTAAATGTAACTAAACGAAATAGTTAGCCCTGAAGTGACCAAAAAAAAAAGGGGATGCTATTTACATTCCGGGGAGATTAGCCGGGCAGCTGCTGGAACCTCGCGGAGATGCATGATACTTGAGGCTGATATGAGGATAACATAATGGCATAATAAGTACTCCGTAATAATGGAGATAATAATAGTATAATAATATAATAGTATAATAGTACAAATAAGAGCAGAAGTCATCTGATTATTGCATATTCTATACGGAGTACATTATACATGAAACTATCTAGTCCAATATATAAATCAATCTACTAAATCAATTCAAATCAACTCAAATAGTGGAGCATTGTTTGCCCGATTGGATCTGCAAAGGACGGCCACCTACATACGTCAGTTTCCTTCTCCTCGGGTTTCTGATTGCTCAAGTCTCAAGGGGGCCAAAAGCAATTATTCTTACTATGAAGTGCCGGACAAAGCTATTTGTTTACTGTTTACTGTTTACTCCGTACTCCAGACTCTTCCTATTTATTCCGTACCCTTCAGAAGTAATACCCTAATTGTCCCTGTCATATTCCACCCTAAACTGGATCCGACAATCTGGTTGAGATGGGGACAATCCACTAGACTATTCCTACGGATGCGACCTCAGAGATCCGGCTAGATTTTTTTTGTAGGTAGACATGTTTATACTTCTCTCTGACCCGCAAATGATCGGCTTACACATTAGCCTTACCTATTATTATTTAATCTACGATGTACACAGTACACACTCAGGCACTTGTGGTGAGGGTACACATTACTCCGTTCTTAAAATATATAGTATGTAATCAATATTGGCGACTCACAAGCTCACATCGAACCCGAAACAAAATAGCGTGATGCAATCTGCGGATGTACAACATGTGGAATAATCAAATTCTCTAACAAAAATACTAAAAGGAAGAAACTATGAAAAAAATAAATTAACCCATTGGGCAGACAGATAGACTCGCGTGTACTCAGACTTCTAGATCACTGTTCTTCTCGGTATGTCGCCCGCAACCAGGAGCCCGGCACGTTGGATAGACCAACCGGTAGCACAAAACACGAGGCTAGAACGAGGTATTAAGGACTTGGGCATTTGTAATGGGGCGAAAAAAAAAAGGAAATAATAAAACATTGTTATTGTTGAAACAGTCGCCATCGACTATATTCATATTACTGAATACTATACTATTATTGAGAAGCTATATATCCTCTTGCACCTACATATGTACATAGAGCCATGGCCCCGTTTCAAGTTTAGATATCCTCAAACACGTCAGACGAAACATGCATCAATATCTAATAAAATCTAATCTTAGAATCCAAACAGAAGCTTGGACAAAAAAATATCCCTATCTCACCCTTCCAAATCCCATGACAACCCAACAAAGGGACGTAAACCAAATCTCCCACCTGAAACACGACAAACAGACTACTGCTACCTACATCGGATGTTTTATATAGAGGGTAACTAGACCGAAAGTAACATCACACCCCCCCACTTCAATGTTCTTTCTGCCTTCTATTCCTCTTCCCTGTTATCCTAGCCTTCCCTTCCTCCCCTACCCTCGTAGATAATAAATTCTGATAAAAAATAGAAACCACCATTCCCTCGAGACAACAGTGCCTCGCCTTGTACGACTTCCACCTCGGACTGCAGACCCAGCGAATCCAGTGCCTCGGAATTCCGAAGTTATCGTCTCACCACGCTCATCCAGTCCGGTTGCCCAGTCAGGAGCACGGACGTCGCCGAGACGGGGGTAGTTGATGGTTGGGGATGGTGTGTAGAGATAGTGTGGTGGATATACATACATATTTGTACGTATGTACATAGGTACGGAGTAGTCAACGGTACGTGAAAGGTATACATGGAAAAAATAGGATTGCACATTGTCAGCCATTTCCACCGCGTATATTTATCCTATAGAATAAATAACGAAGGAATATCTAAGCAGAAACCCCGAAAAGATTACTGAAAAGATGTGACAAGCCGCAAATGCAGCCGAATATTCTTGTACATATACCCAAGTATACCTACCCAGATGCTTTTTTTGACCTTTTATCTTTACCTTCCACGCTTTATTTTTATTTTTGCATATACCGGCGTGGCCACATGCACAGCCTACATATGTTGTATGCAACAGGGATGAGACGGGAGCCAGGGTTCGGTTCGGGAGAACGGGAAGAACAACATAGAGCAGCAGAAACGATGAACTGGGGGGTGTGTATGGTTTGCTGCAAAAGATTAAGGCAATAATACGATGCAAGATACACCATCTCAACCCGCAAAGTGCTGGGATGAACAAGGATTTGTCGCTGTGGCTGTTCCTGTTACTCGACTCGTTGGTTGGGGTCATCCGGTCCACGAGACTGCGGTCCAGAAGGAAAGGGATGGTTCGAGGGAGAGAAACTGGCGTTTGCCGAGGCTAGTTTGCGCGGAAAAAAAAATCAGGGTTGGTCCAGATGGGAACGGAGGTTGTTGTTCATGCGGCTGAAACGTCAAGACTTTGTTTTTGGGTGTTGGTTGTTGGGAATGATGTTGATTGAACTATAGTGATATGAGGTAGGGACCCGGGTGTGTTGGTGATTTGTTGGAGGCTAAGTTGTTGAAATGTTGAGTTGAGCAGGGCGTTGTATAGTTTGTGGAAGGGGTTGCGGGTGGCTTATACTGTACTCTGATATACTTCCCCGGGTAGCATTATGCACAGCCATTGACATTGGGTGCCTGAGCTGACGAAAAACAGCTGGAAGAAAGACAACCGGGAGAAAGAGGTCATGGGGAAGATAATTTTCATAAGATGTGCTTCCCGTATCGGGGCAGAGAAAATAAACTACAAACACGTCGCTGATCATTGAGTCATGTCATGTCGAGAGCAAGAAAGAGAAAGCCGAGCACCAAGAAGAAACACCATTCACTGAATATATGTCGCCACTCAACCAGTGAGAAGGTCAATCATATTTGATCTGCGCCGAAGTCAGTACGAATACCTCCAATAAGATCGGATCAAAACATACTCAGTGTCATACTGAGGCTCACGTCTGTATTTTCCACCATATCCGTGAACTCCTCAAAGCTGATCTTTCCATCCTGATCCTTATCAGCCTCCATGATCGTCTTGTCGACGATCTGCTGCAGTTGCACGTCCTTGAGGTTATTGCCAACCATCATCTTTAGCACGATGAACAGCTCGCCGTTGGAAATGTAGCCGTCACGGTCAATGTCGTACACCTTGAATGCGAATCGCAGCTTCTCTTGCTTGTTACCCTTTGAGCTGAATGCTGATAGGCCGGTCACGAATTCCTGGAAGTCGACGTCACCGCCACCGTCTTCGTCGAAGATGGCGATCATCCTATCATAAGAGAGAAGGGTCAGGGACTACTCTTTGCATATATGTAGGTCGTAGATCACGAGTGTGGGGGTGTGGGTATGGATGTTCGGGGGAGCAACGAACCTCGTGGCGAGCGGGTTGGACGACACTTGGGGAAGGGAGAGGAACTCATCACGGTCGATAGTGCCGGAGGCGTCCTGTAGACTGTTTAGTATGCGAGAATATCTTCCGACAGTCTGTGCTGCGCAACCGACCTTATCCAGCTTCATGAAGCGCTTGCGCAGGCGATCCACTTCGTCCCGGTTGACTGTTGTCGCGATGTCAGCCCATAGCCCGATCCATCACCTTAACGCCTTATCCGACCGTGGAAAACGTACAGTTCGATGTAGACACAATGTTATCGAGGAGCTGGGTGGTACCGACGGAGCCTCGGCGTCTCCGCGCATCGTGCATCGCAGCAGCGTTGGGCTCATTGGGGGAGGGGGGCTGGTCCATGGTGGATGGTCGGAGAGGGAAATGAGATATAGCGACGAGGTGGAGCGCGGAATTATGTAGATGGGGGTAGCAGATGGAAGTTGTAGCACTAGTGGAACAGCAAATACAAAGAGCCAGATCAAAGTAAGACAGCAAAATAGGAGGCAGAAGAGTTGTTATTGCCAACGGCCCGGGGAATCTGATATCGCCCAGCCCCGCACTAACCGGATCCGGACAGGCAAGCGAGCCCCTGAGGCCGTGCACTCGGCCAAAACAGGCCATCGCCGGCTGACATTACAACGTCAACCCAACCGCTAGCCGTGAATCACCCCATCTTGAGTCGTCAATATCTCCCCCCTCCATCAAATTTCATCTCAAAAATACGTCTACGAGAAAGCGCATGAACAAACCTTTCTGCTGATTCCCATTTTACCCCGTCCTCGCCCATGGTCGTTGCCCTATCGCGCGTCCCGACGCTATGACTCGGTACGGGGGCCTAGGGAGGACGCGCCCTAAAAAGCTCACCTCCAAGGCATCCATCCCCGTTGTTCGGGAGTCAGACATCGATGCCATCGACGATGAAATCCAGAGCTCTCTACAGCAGATCGAAACCGGCGTCGAAAAGGCCGAGGAGTCGGTGAGTCCCTAATTTTAGCCTCATCCCTATCCCAATCACGTGATACTATCGCCAAAATGACACGAGATTTTCACCCCAATATAAAATGACCCGCGCTGACCTAAGATCGTCTTAGGAAATTCACCTGCAACGCGCAATTAATGCCACTGCCCAAGGCAAAGTAAATGAGGCACACATCCCTACTCCCGAAACCATTCTCAGTAATCTTCAATATGACGAACTCTATCCTCCCATCTTCTCGCAACCTGCGACGTACATTCGCTTCTCCTCGACTGTCGAGGATTGCTGCGGATGCCCGTACAACATGACAGAGGAGGACGATGTTTTCCTTAAGATCATGAACCAGAAGCGCGATCCATCTGCTGGTCGTTGCACGGAGGATATCTTCGAGGAGGTCATGAATTTCTTTGAGGAGACGGCGCAGATGAAGCAGCCGTATGCCTCCATCGATAATCCCCCGGTGTTGTCATTTGCAGAGATGCAAGACATGATGGATGCCACATTAGAAGATCCCATGAAGATGTTTGCGAAGGAGATATATGAGCACTGGAAGTCGCGCCGGATGGCTGTTCAAAATAACGCACTTGTGCCGCAGCTCAAGGTATGTCATTATCTCATGCAATTTGCCCATTCGGCATTGCTAACGTTGATATCCACAGTTCGAAACTGGTCAAGACACCGACGACAGTGATCCATTCGTCTGTTTCCGTAGACGCGAGGTTCGACAGATCCGCAAGACTCGTGGTAGAGATGCGCAGAGCGCTGAAAAGCTCCGACGTCTTCGCAAAGAGCTGGAAGATGCTCGCGAGCTCGTTGCCTTGGTGCGCCAGCGTGAAGTTGCTCGGAGGGAAATGCTCTCCATGGAGCGACACCTCTTCAAGCAGCGTGCTGAGGTCAAGGAGATGAAGCGCAAGCTCAACATCAAGGACGATGATGAGGACCTCATCAACCAAAAGGTAAGCATGGGTACTGTAATCGCTCAGTATATGCACATGCTAACGATTCCCCCACAGCCGAAAAAGAGAGTGCTCGATATGCCACCTCAACGCCCCAATGCTCCTCAACTGCGCATGCCTCTCAAGGCTGGGCAAGGTGCAGAGGATTTGCAATTGCTGGAGGATGTTCAGGCCGAGAAAGAGAACGAGATTCTGCGCGATATCAAGCAGAACATCACCAAACACATCAAGTGGAACGAGGGATACGTGGATCACACCCGTGCACCACTCTCTCCTTCTCCAGAAAGGATATTCGATGCGGTTACCTTCCGGCCTGCATTCACAGCACAGTTGCCCACTCCCCCATCATCAGAATCATCTGGTGAGATGGATACTTCCTTAGACGTCACTAGCCCACTCTTCTCCAGAGATAAGCTTGCATCCCATGCCATTGAACTGCACGATGAACCACACCGAATGCCATCTTTCCGACGACGAGTTGGACGTGGTGGGCGGTTGATGATCGATCGTCGAAACATGGGTGCCCGTAAAGTCGAGATGGATCCAATCAAGGCCGACCGGTTCAAGTTCGATCAAGAAGATTCCGACGAGGAGTATGAATATGAGACCGATGCGTACAGCATCCAAATCATGCAGCACCGAGCTATCACCATGGCAAAGGCGCGCGAACAGGCTGCGGTGGCTGCTCAGGCTCATGCGCAGGCGCAAGCACAGGCAGCCCAAGCACAGGCTCAGCGACGACTGCTAGACCAGAATGGTCAGCAGCCAGGCTCCATGGGATCGAATCTCGGACCAACTGCCGTCGCAGTGTCAGAGGCCTGAACAACTCTTTTCCCCTTTTCCCTCTTTCACAGCATTTGGCGGGCGTTCTCTTCGTGGCTCTGTTTTCCTCATCCCCTTCGTCTCTGTTTTTTTTTCTTCTCCTTTTACCACCCTTGTAGTTTTATTACTCCCTCATGTTTCGACGATTTCCGCGGGCGGCGAAAGATGGCTGGTTTGATGCCCGATTTCTCCTTTTTTTTCTTCTCTCGCGTTTCCACCCACCCCTTCTCACACATCTCTTTCTCGACATTTCGTTTTGACGCAGGTGCTAGCCACTCGTGGCCGAGCGCGTCTGCATTTGTTAGTGTACATAGTATCTTTTTCTCCCGAATCTCGGTGGTGTTGGCTGGTGTCGGGCAGCCTTTGTATGATGGATAACCGAAGTTATGATGCAAGCGACGAATGGGAGGGCAAAGAAAAAGGCTCAAAAACATTCAGAAAATCTAAAACAATTTAATCACTCGCAAAAAGCACTTTTCTTTTGGTTCTGTTAGGGTTCAGTAGAACAGACTGATATCGGCCGTAGTAAATGGAAGCGAGAGCAAAAGGCTTTCACACTCTCTGTGTCTTGAACTGTCGCGAATCACCACCATCGCCATTGGCAGAACGTTTCAATGAACCGGAAGTAGCGGGCTGCAGCATGCCCAAGACCGTCTGCAAGACCTCCTTCTCGCCAATGCGAACCTGCAAGGCCATCCGTACGCGACGAGCCGCCTCATCCACGTCACCAGTTTCAGGCAACGGAGAAAGCGAAGCCCTGAACTGGAGATCCGAGGCCAGAGACGTAGCGTATTGCGCCTGTCGCTTTTGTAGCGCGCTGATCAAGATAGCGGTCGCATTGGTGTCCAAGACCGGTTTGGGAGCCTTGTCCTTAGACACGCGCTGCTTGAATTCCTCAGGGGAAAGAGCCAGCGTAGCCAGAAGAACCACTAACTCGGCTGGTAGAATGTCTCCCAAAGACGGATTGGCGTTGACGGGTCTGGGGATCACATAGCCGTCCTCAAGGATGTCGAGACTTGAGAGGAACTCCAGTCGGGGCTGGGACTCGGGATCTGCGTTCGCAAGTCCTGCGGCTTCGCAGATGGTTTCCAATGATAGCTCAAGCACGTCGTAGACAGCGTAGTTATCGGTAACGTAGCCGTATCGGCGGAGGAGATCTGCGCGGGGGATCTCTCCGTAATCATTGAAGATTTCCTCGCCTTGTTGAATTGGCTTGATTGCCTTCATGACTAGGGCACCTTCTTCCTGGTAGAGACGAGCCTGATGAAAGCGGGTTAAAAATTGGGGTCGAAGAAAAATATCAAGTCCAAACTCACGTTGTTTCGGTCCGCATCAGCGTTAAGCAGATCCGCGAGCGGGACCATACCCTTAGGCAGCTGCTCCTCCTCTTCGTCATCAGTCATGTAGCTCTCATCATTAGCTTCTCCCTCATCGTCATCGTCCTCAGACTTTTCGATGTCAAAGGCATAGGCCATAATGAGGGATCCCATGACGTGGCCCACTTGGATGAGGGCGGCGTCACCAGCATCGCCCTCCCAAGACGCAAGACCAGGAGGAGGCGGGAAGAGATCGGGCCTCTTTGCCAAAATAGGAGCGATGGAATCCCTGATTGACTCCTCGGCGTTTGACCGACCAATCTTCTCAACGATGCTGCTAGCCTGCAGCTCCTGAAGCTCAGCCGGCGACCAAAACATCAGGGTGTCAAAACGAGAAGGCAAAACTCTGAAATACGGAGCCCATCTCGACTTTTCTCCTTGTAGGTATTCATACACCATGACCAGCATCAGGGAAAGCCACGGACCCATCTGCTCCTCTAGATTCTCCCCGAGCAGGGTCCTCAGCTCCGAGTTCTGCACGGTGAGAACCATGGCGCGAGGGATCGAGAATAGTTCTTCACCTTCCGGGATGTTGCTTTGTGCCACTATAGCCCAGGGAATATATTAGAGACTGATTATAACATTTATGAAACCTTCACTTTTGGGAACTCCGTAGACGTTTTTGTGTGTTCGGGGGATATATTTTTTTGGACACTTACCGACACCACGTCCAGCTCCAGTTGCCCGAAGATCTGCAAGTCTGATCTTAGGGTTGAGCTGCACACCGGGGCTGGCTTGCAGCCATGACATGAAGTTGTCAGACTGTTGTTGAAAGCCCTCGGCGTCGGGGAAGTGGGCTGTCGAAGACATGACGGGAGAGATTCCCTTGGGAGGGAAAAGAGGAATAGGGGGGAGGGTGTAGAACGAAGCCACAAATGAAGTGGATACCAGTAGGGAAGAAGAAAATAATGGAGAAGAGGGGAAAGAAGAAGAGAGTCGGGAGAGTATGCAAACTAAAGTCGAGCAGGGTAGCTCGGGTTTAGTTCGGGCCAACCGACGGGTGCCGCTTTTAGTTCCGATAACGATAACGAAAATCATATCACAGGTCTCTCCCGGGGTTTCATACATGGCGTATGATTTTATTGGATTTTATGACATACATTCTCTTACTGATACCTTGAAATACCGCCCATCATGATCGCAATTGGCATGGAAGGCTCTGCCAACAAATTGGGCATTGGCATCATGCTGCATCCTAAGGATGGTAGCGCCCCGCAGGTCCTCGCCAATATCAGACACACCTATGTCTCCCCGCCAGGCGAGGGCTTCCTGCCTAAGGATACAGCGCGCCATCACCGATCATGGGTTGTGAAGCTGGTCAAACAAGCTCTCAAAGAAGCCAAGGTCTCCGTCGAAGATGTGGACTGCATTTGCTTCACTAAGGGACCCGGAATGGGTGCCCCGCTACAGAGTGTGGTGATCGCCGCGCGGATGTTGAGTTTGCTTTGGGGCAAAGAGTTGGTTGGAGTGAATCACTGTGTTGGGCGTAAGTATCCATACACATCAGTCATAGACAGCACCTCCTATTTAGAGTTAGCACTCGAACAAACCGCTAACAATGTGAATCTCCAGACATCGAAATGGGCCGTCTCATCACCGGCGCAACAAACCCAGTCGTCCTATACGTGTCCGGCGGTAACACACAAGTCATCGCATACAGCTCGCAACGGTATCGCATCTTCGGCGAGACCCTCGATATGGCAGTAGGAAACTGTCTAGATCGGTTCGCGCGCACACTACACATCTCCAACGACCCGGCGCCAGGATATAATATTGAACAACTAGCAAAGCAAGGAAAGCAGCTAGTCGATCTTCCCTACGTTGTGAAGGGCATGGACTGTTCATTCTCTGGGATCTTGGCTGCGATTGATGGCCTGGCTAAGCAGTGGGGGCTAGGCGGGGAGGAAAAGGCACGAGAAGATGAGCAGAAAACCGTTGATTCTACAACTGTTGCGGACGATTCACTGGAAAGCAAGCCCACACGCGCAGATCTATGCTTCTCCCTCCAGGAAACTGTCTTCTCAATGCTTGTTGAGATCACCGAGCGCGCAATGGCGCATGTTGGATCGAAGCAGGTTCTTATTGTTGGCGGTGTTGGCTCGAATGAGCGTCTGCAGCAGATGATGGGTATTATGGCACGGGACCGCGGTGGAAGTGTCTATGCGACGGATGAGCGGTTCTGCATCGATAACGGGATTATGATTGCACAGGCTGGTATGCTGGCGTATGGGACCGGATTCCGGACCCCTTTGAGTGAGAGTACTTGTACACAGCGGTTCCGTACGGATGAAGTGTTTGTGAAGTGGCGGGATTGATATCAACCAAGGTCTTGTCTGAACCAAAAATATATCTATCATGTGTTATGAATTGAGCGAGTCAGATCTGATATCCTTTGAATTCGGTTAGATAAATTTGGAAAAAAGTTATTCAACATTCACCACTCATCTCAAGGTGGTTTTCCAGACATTTGTAATATTCTTGCATAAATCGAAGCGCCTGTACAGCTGTATGATTTGCCCATGATCAACTCCCAAATCCTTTCCCAACACCCAACACGAAAGTAACGCCAGAGAAAATATGCAATATATGGTGGTCTCACTGAGATACATTGTTCAACGCACATTAATGGGTGTTGGCTCTGGTCAATGACTGAGTAGTGAGGTTTAGTTGCCGTTTTGGACGAGGAACCCGAGAACACCTGGATAGATAGGAAGTGGACTGGCAAGGGCCAACGAGTCGAACAAGGCAGGGAATTGCTTGTAAATCTTTTTCTCTCTGCCAATCGGATAAACCACAACATGTCCGAGGCAGTATTCGGAAAAAAAAAATGTATGCATGCAATTGAAAACGGCCTATATGGTTGGACATAGCTCATTCTGTGATATCGCCAGTCGGTTTGTACAAAATAGTCGTGACATACTGCAGACACGAGATTAGTTAACCTACGAAAAGTGTATAGAGCAGTGACTTACTTTTCTTTTATATCTGGTCGTCACACTTGTAGCCAGGACACCGTTCTTGATACTACTCGTGGCGAGGTGATTCAAGACGGTGTGGTTCGGGTAGTTCAAAACACTGCTATCGTCTTTCATGGGAGTTGTGCCATTGAGAATTGACTTACCCAAGAAGAGAGGTAGACTGGGAGGGGTAGCCGTATCTCCAATGACATTGGCAGCCTGGACATAGGCCGGGCTGTCTTCTTCCTTATCCAGATCGGCGAGGAATTGAGGAACGGCATCACCGAAATCACCGGGGGCACCTCTTCTTCAATTTCTTCCTTTTCTAGAGGGTGGTCCTCGGTATCCCCTGGATCCTGTTTAGAGGAATCCGGGACCGTGTGTGGAGGGGGAGCTCCCGGCTGGACGGCGGAGTCCTTGTCATGAGCATCATCTGCACTGATTTCAATGTAGTTGACCAGATGATTAGTGAAGTCGACGGCAGTGGGAAGGTTATCCGCAGCGCGCATTGTTCCATCGACAATGAATTTCAAGTGGTGCGTGCCAGGTCGAAGGTTCAGAGTAGTAGACATAACGGACGGATTTTTTTCACTGTCGAGCGTTAGTTGAGTCTCGGGAATCCCAATCATGCCATAACCAACCTTTTATGCAGACGGAACTTTTTCTCCCAGTTAACAAAAGTACCAGTTACATAGACCTTCTCAGCAGGCGCTGTCCATTCGATAACGACCGGGACGGCCTTGCCCGCACCGCTGATGGTGTATGGCTGGAGCTCATCAAGCAACTCTTCCTCTTCAATAGTCGTATGACCTGCAGCTAGAGTACTCGGATCCATCTGTTCATCCAAGAGTCGATCTGCGGGGAGCGACTGGATATGCGAGTCCTCAGGGCCGGCGACGGGCGATCCAGGAGTGGTGTTAGCATCACCAATTGGCAACGGCAAGCGCGGGGGATGTTGTAGGTGTGCTGATGCGCTATAGTACGAGTTGAGGGGCGGGGCCGATGGTGCCACAGGATCGCGCCCCGGGACATGGCGCGAGACCGGGACTTGGACCGGGTTGGAGTGGTCGCGGGATGGGATGTCTTTGATCGGGGAGGGCTCGACTCGACGTGCATCTTGTGGCGGAGCCCTCTCTATGTTCTTTGGTGAAGATTCGGGGACATTTCGGGATTGTAGGCGCTCTTGCACGGATCCTTGGTATCCTGCCGAGTGCCCAGCGGCTGTCTCCTTTGTGGCCGAAGGATCGGCTGCAGTGGCCTTAGGGACCGCGATTGTGTTGAGGGAGGATCGACGGGCGACCTTTCGATCGCTTGCAGAGCTGTGGTGGGCATGGGCGTGGTGATGCGCGTCGCCCACCGGGCCTTTGGAAGGGTTGTTGCCCATCGAAGGCGGGGAAAGGTGTGATGACTTTGGGCTGAACTTTTTGCTGGGAGGTGGGGAAAGAGAGGGGTCGAACTAAGTCACAATGGCGGGCTGGAGAAAGACAAGTCCGATACTAGCTCAAAGTAAGGATTGGCGGTGGGCAGTAATCAAAGTCGATTGATGTACTCCGTACTCACATTGTCTAAGTACAGGAGACGCCGATGACGCCGGAAGCCCAATCCGGTAATATAGGGCTTAGGGCTTGGCAGTTGGCCCGCGGCGCGTGTTACTTGGATATCATAACAGGAGTCGAGATGCATAGATTGATTTGCTACATACCTACATACCTTCATAATAATCATGAACTGGATATCCATTCTAAAATATCCTTTGTTGATCGTTCTTGGCTTGACAATTCAATTACTGTCCTACTTGTTGTCAACCCTTCTCTACCTCGCATCCCCAGTGATCTACATTGGACATGTCGTCTTGTACCTGACACTGCTTCCATTGCGTATCCTTATTAAGTTAGAGGTATGTTTTGAGACAGTTATCTATGCTATCCCATGCCTCCATATTGTACCGCTTTGGTGGTAGCATTTACTAAGCTAAGCTCTAATAGGCATTCATTTATTTCATGACCGGGGCAGTGCTTGTCGGGGCCACTATAGGAATGATTCTACATTTCACCGGCAGCACCATATCACAGTTCCTACAAATTGAAGAGTCAGATGAGCCACGGCAGCCTCGTGTGAAACGGGAGCTCCCATATTCTGAATACCGAGATCCATCCTTCGACTATCTAGAAGCGCAGACGGAAGATCACAAGTTCTTGCCCTACTCGACAATCTTGGAAGAGGAAGAGAACAGCCATGAGTCAGGTTAATATTTAGATATTTCTTGAGCCTAGTGTATGATATTATAATAAGATGCAAATGAACTTCCGTGGCGGGCTAGAAACAAACCTGTCATTAAACTGCCAAGAATCCAATTAGGCAATGGAGGCGATCTGTCCAATATGCATGCGACATTGCATTCCACTCTTGATAGAGAAAGAAGAAGAATAGCCGGCTGCTTATGCGGCCTTGCCATGTCTTTTTGGTGGTCATTCTGGTAGTCATTGGGTAGTCTTTTTAATATGCCTTTTTTCCTAAACATTTTTTCCCCTTCCTGGAGGCTTATAGATGGAGGACAGAAAAAGGCGGAAAAGGCTCGAAATGTGCAGACAACCTTTCTGTATATAACCAGAGATGCCTACCAATATGCACCAACTTTGTGGTCCGGTGGACCAGGGCTCCAATATTGCCTAATTGGGCCACATATGCGATCCAGCCAATCACATCATCCATATCTAGTCTCCCAACAATACAAGGTACAACGTATATAATATGCTTAAAATCCATCATCTGAGTGTCGAAATTCTTCATCCTCTTTCATATTCTAAACTTCCATCTTCACAATATCAAGCTCATCCCAAAATGGTCCGAATCAACGCCTTCGCCGTGGAGCAAGTAAGCAACCCTCAAGCCCTATTCTAACCCCAGCCTCCAAACCGATTGCCTACCTAGTTACACAGAAACTAACATATAGAAGTGGATGGACCTCTACGAAACCAGTGCAAAGCACAACCTCGCCGAAACATGCTGCGCGTCCATCTCCCTCAACGACCTACTAGCCCTGTCTCCGAAAAAGGATCTGGTAGATTTCACGCAGAAGCAAGTCTACGGCGCTATTCGGGGATCCGAGTCACTGAGAACAAACATCGCGAATTTGTATTCCCAATCTGGATCTACCGAAGCCAGCCCCGTCTCTGCTGATCGAGTCCTGGTCACAAACGGTGCCATCCAGGCTAATTTCTTGGCGCTTTATACTCATGTCGGGCCGGAGGATCATGTTATTTGTCAGTATCCGACCTATCAGCAATTATACTCTGTCCCTGAGTCTTTCGGGGCGGAGGTTAGTCTGTGGCGGTCGGATGAGGCGAATGGGTGGAGTATGGATTTGGAGAAGTTGAAGTCTTTGATTAGGCCGAACACGAAGATGATTATTTTGAAGTATATGTGACTCATGGTGGTTTATTTGGTTACTGGATGTGTACTAATTGGAGTCTATAGCAACCCCCAGAATCCAACGGGCGCGATTCTTCGTCGCGAGGAATTGCAGGGGATTGTTGATATCGCGCGTGAGCGTGGTATCCTGATCCATTCCGATGAGGTTTACCGACCTCTGTTCCATTCCCTTGACTCAGATCAAGAGATTCCTCCATCGATTCTTGAATTTGGGTACAAGAATGTCATTGCAACGGGTTCCATGTCCAAAGCTTTCAGCTTGGCCGGTATCCGATTGGGATGGATTGCTTCTCCAAACCCTGAGATCATCGAAGCTTGTGCCTCTGCTCGTGATTATACCCTGATTTCGGTTGGTCAAATCGATGATAGCGTGGCAGCTCATGCATTGTCCAGTCCATGCGTGGAAAACTTGCTGCAGCGCAATCTTAGCTTGTCTCGGCAGAATCTTGATGTCCTTGGGGCATTCATCGAAGAGTATAACTGGGCTATGAAGTGGACAGAGCCGAAAGCTGGAACGACTGCATTCATCAAGTTTGTTGACAGACAAGGCAGGGCAATTGACGATGTCGTATTCTGCCAGCGACTCCAGGAAATGACTGGTGTCATGCTGGTCCCTGGAAGCCAGTGTTTCGGAGGTGGTGTGGACTTCCGTGGATATGTGAGGTTGGGCTATGTCCAGGACAGCCAGGTAATAGTTGATGGATTGAACACTCTGAGACAGTTCATGCGTGATGAGTATGAGAAGCTGCCGCTAGCCTCGGGTATGTAGACAATGATCAAGTGTTTGTTATACTTGCCTTTCTCGCTTTATCTAGTAGATATGACCATAGGGCGTGGAGAATAGGACTTCCTGTCCACTCAAGCACTCAACAGTGCTTAAACCAGACGCATCGACAGTATTAATGTCATGCCCCGCCAAAGGAATGAGATAAAGTAGGGGTAAAAGCGTGGGAATTTCTGATCACAGCCATCAATCCATTCATAATTTAATTGATCCGCTGTTAGAGGGCTTACTGAGGGCTTAGAATAGAACCAATTCTAATCCAAGATTCGAAAAATAGGTATCCCAGGATAGGCATGTCTCGGATGCCCAGAACTTACTCAGAAGCTCTCGTGCCCTTGTAAAATTTCCCATCCCAAGACTTTGCATATCGCCCATCCGCTTGTGGATAAATTCGCGTTCCTTGGTATCGTCGGTTTCACAGCCAACACTGAACATGGGCCAAAGGATCAAGATATTCGCAGAAGAGAACGGTGGGATCTCTTCAACTGCGGCTATGACTTTCCTGATGTCCTCTTTCACCGTCTCATGGTTTCTTGGGAGTGTTTGGACTCGGCGATGGAGGTGTAATAAGGCAGCGTGTACAAAGGCAAGATGGGTACTCTGCAGCCCAGGGGAATCTCCACCAGAAACACTGCACTCAACAAGGGAAAAAATTTCAACCTCAAGCCTTCGGGATTCTTCCAATATGGCTTGTTGCATTGCAGGCCCAGTGTGACATTGGCGCTGCACTAGTTGAGATAGCCGTGCAAGCAGCGGAGCCAACTTCAAGGAGTATCCGCATATATCGTCGACATGCGAGCTTAACAGATCAAAAGACCTATCCAGTAGCCCTGTATCAGAGCTAATTACACCTCTAGTGCTCAATCCCGATAGTCCGGCGAGAACATCCATTGTTGTAAACCATTTGACCAAACATTGAATGTAAGGATCAGCAATGCGCGGCGTTCCTTGGGTATCCAAAAAGGCACCCAAAAGACGCATTACCCCGCCAAGATGAGTCCGCCATGTCTGCATATTCCCATTGCACACATCATTAGTGCACAGAGCCATGGCTGTTGTAACAGTCTCAGCTGTCAGTGTTGCATCTGTTTCACTGAGCGCCGAGCGCAGGCTAGAAATTGACAAGTTCGTGAACCTCAAACAGGATACCTTTGCCTTTGGTCCTGTGTCTTGGACAAGTCGGCTGTGGTGACTGCAGGCAGATGCGAGGAGGGCATAGAGAAGATGGGGTGTCTCTAGGGAGCTTGCAATGATTCTTTGCAGGAAGAGCGCTGGAGCTGCGGGGAACAGCCGTGGGGCGGTTTCGGTGTTAAAGATGTGCATGAAAAATTGAGATTCTTTTGATGATAGAAATGGTGATAGGTTTAGAACAGGCTGGTGAGTGATAAGGTTTAGGCTTTGGTTGACGCTTTCATTGTGGAGATTCGCTTCACCCGGCCTTGTGTGGGTGACTACATTCTGGTTGATGATATTGATATCGTATTTGCATTCTTTTGGGAAACCGCGTGCAGCGCGAACAGATGGGTTTCTTCAGGTCACACTAGACATTTTATTAGCGATGTTTAGATGGCCAGCAAGAAATTCTTTACTTTGACTTTTTTGCGTCGACATTCTGTGCAGCCATCTCGCCTTCTTTGGCGGATGGGGCTAGCTTTACCAACCCGATGGCTTGGCATAGCCAACCGAATTTATGGTAAATGTAGGTAAGATGGAGAAGAGAAGTAGAGAAGATCGGAAGAAAGGGTAGATAGCAGTTTCCACAATTTCCCGAGCTAAGTACCCGATCCAGTCATATTGCGGCATTGCTGAACAATGGAATTGTTTATATATTCTTAAATATTCTTTGCGTATAAAAAAGTACAAGAATAGTCGCTTATATGATCTTCTTAAGTCCTTTTTAGTAGGCCTTTTTCGTACTCTCTGGATTAAGAAAAGGCCAATATTATTGAAAATTATTCTGACCTACAGCTTATATTAACCGCAAAATCGATAAATTGATCCCAACAATACCCTAGATAAAAATGCGCCTATTACAATATTACAATCGCCCTCATTTGGCACTTGTCTTGTATATTCCAACTTCTCTTGTCTGATGAGCGGACAAATATAAATATGTACGTCAATTTGACATAGACACGTCTAAGGGCCTCGTTATTTAATTATAGAAGCCAAGCAAGAAGTGTGGTGAGAGTTAAAGAAACCGCGAGAAGCCAATAAATCCAGAGATTATCGAATAGGCCCATGTCTTCTCTATTGAAGTCGAAAAGTTCATGCCAAATAATCCCTTCGATTATTGAAGCTTAACCGACACACCCATGTCACCACCCTATGACAGATAAATATCTCCGATCCTGAACAACTGAGTATAATACCACCAAATCAACTCAATTTATTCTGCTCGGAATATTTCAATTGTAATCAACTTAAAGATATCAAGTAGATCTAGCAGAACCTGTAATGTACTGTAAACCAATCAAATCCAAAGCCCCCTCGCAACCGGCTACCACTCAATCAAACCTACACCCTGCTATTTTGACTTGGAATATTCCTGGTCTGATCCAGCCTTACCATCTACCTGCTCGTATGGAGGAGGGTCCTCAAAGGTCTTTGTACTTGTACGGCACATTGACGGCTGGTAGGTTGCTTTGGATTGTGCTTGTGGTGAAGGATCGTATGGGGGAGGGTCATCCATGGTCTTTGTAGTTGTACGGGGTATTGGCGACTGGTATGTCGATTTGGATTGTGCTTGTGACTTAGACTTGTTCACATTGCTATCATGGCTTGAGCGAGGCTCGTGTGGAAGATCCGGTGGGTGGACATAAGGGTCTTTCTTTTTGCTACTATCCTTATAGCCCATTCGCCGCTTGTTTTCAAGAAAGAACCGTTGCTGGGAAGCAAGTCGGAGCCTTTGGGCAGCAGGTTGGAGACTTTCCTTATACTTCCGCTTTTCCTCTTGCTGTTCAGCGTAGGCCCTAATGGAGGATATATGAGTATGAGAGCGGCAAACATGGAAGGCTTGAAGAACGCACTCGGATGCATCTTTGATGAAGTCATAGGCATTAGCCGAAGTACGGCGACCGATAAAATCCATCGTTTTAAAGGTGAAGAAGGAGTTTGGAAGCTTGGTTATTGAAAATGTGACATTTTGAAGACCGGGAAACCGAGGGGTCCACGAGTATTTATTATCGCCTGAAGCTCAGGCCCCACACGGGATCGTGAATGACTCCGCCACATGGATCTTCGCCAATGTCGGGGGCCAAACCTACAGGGGTAGCGCTTAACATCATCGCCCCGCAAGCTCGCCTGTATCGACAGACTGTCGCGTTTGAACTACATCTCAGAGAACAGATCATGTCCTGGTTGAATCATCGAAAATCTATTGTTGGTTGTTTTTGATAATAATCTAATAGCATGTCCTTTGTAGTCAGTACCTTAGCTTGGCCCCCTAATTGCCAAGACTGTGGGGGTAATTCTATACTCAGCCCCAAACATAAAGTCCCGAGGATTGGATTTTACGCTGCAGTAAAGATCTGCACAGGCAGAAAAAAAAAGAAATTAACCCTTCTGTGGATCTGGGTTGAGCTTAAAGCGTCGCTGTATGTGCTGGATATTCGGGTGAAGAACATTAAGGGTAAAGGAGTGCCCTATCAGTGGGCTCTATATTAGTAGGGCTTACGGTGTATTTAACCTGTAATTTGATGCAATGGACACCTCGATGCCCTACTTAACCCGGGGGGAATGCTGCCTGTCGCGAAAACCGTAAAGAGTTCCCCGTGTACGTGGCATACTTGGAAGGCTATTGTGAGAGATGATTGGATGTCATTATTAGCTCTGAAATACTAGTTGTTGGCAACTGCATATTTCTTTTTCAACCGCTAGAAACACCGCTCTTAGCGCGGTTGCTCCTCTACGTACTTCCATACACGTGTATGGTGCAGGAGCTGAAGCTGGATAATGCCTTATTCTGTGGATAAATAGTCTTTAGAGGGCGTTCTCACTCTTCCTCTCTATAGTCCAGTTGATACATATATTTTTTTCATTCTGGCATCCAACCTAATTTGTAGCTTACTACTTCGCCTCATCAACCAACTTTGACATGGTTGAAAAAATAATGTCCAACAAACATCAAGCTGGGACAGGACAATGGTTTATCAAAGGGGATGCTTTTCAAAAGTGGCTCACAGACAGTCATCTTCTCTGGGTCAACGGATTCGCCGGCTCTGGCAAGTCTGTTATATGTTCAACTGTAATCCAGCACACCCTTAGCCTAAAGTGGCAGGATCCAAGGATCGGGGTCGCTTTCTTCTATATCCGGTTTAGTGATCATGAAAAGCAAGATTTGTCGGCTATTCTACGAGCTGTTCTGTTACAGCTATCAGCACAACTCCCAGAGGCTGAGCAAGACCTATAGCAATTACATCCATCATACCTCACAGACACGCCCCCAACGGAGGCACTCAAGGAATGCCTTCAGCGCATCATTCACATATTTAACAAAGTCTTTATTTTTATCAATGCTTTGGACGAGAGCCCTCGCTTTGAGGGACGAAGCGAGGTCTTAATGACCACCAAAACAATGCAGAAATGGGACAAATTACATCTGTTTGTTACGAGCCGAGATTTGATTGATATTCGTGAAGCACTCAACTCTCCGGCGACCCATGAATTGTAAATGGAAATTACGGAAATTGACAGGGATATAGCCTGCTATGTCTCCTGTCAGCTTGAGACTAGCAAAGAGCTCAAGATATTCAAATCTTTGCATCATCAAATTAAACAGGCACTCATAGATCGTGCACAGGGCGTATAAGCTATCTGAAATTTGTAACTAAATTCTAGCTATTATTGATCCTGATTGATCTACAACCTATGAAAGTCCTACGACAGTGGATTTTTACCCGCACCCCAACAAATATATATCTCTACTTTCAACTATATATATCTCCCCAAATATATTAAATATATATTAAATCTAGTATTGATTTAGTATTGTTATATAGAGAAAAGGCCAATAAATTTAATACACCTAATATCTAGTATAGTATCTTTTTACTTTATGCGTAGCAAGCAATCTTCTAGGTACAGATCGGATCAAATTATCAATTACACCTTGATCAAGGATATCCCATACAGTGTATATGGCTCTTTTCAAATACGCCTAGTACTCCTAGTTTCTACCCATCTCTACTAATTCGGGGTAGAGCTTTAATAGTTTGACCTTCAATAGCCACCAATATAGCTCAATAGGACTGAGATTAGGTAAATGTAGGTAGGTTTCGCTACGTTGAATACCAATTCAGCGAGCTCGAGAGATGTCCAAACAAAGAACATCTTGAGAATGTCTCAACTCTCTACTAAAGGATCTCAAGTCAATTTACGACTGACTACTGTGTAGTACCGATAAAAGATGGACTGTACCTGAGAGCAAGGAGTCCATAGAATGTCGGGTGGTCTAAGTGGGCCCCCTTAAACGCATCTATTGGTTGGATATAGTAACCACCTATCAGCCGAACATGTGTTCGGATCCACCTGGTAAATGTGACAGCCACGCCCCTGGGTTAATCCACATAGTGGGGCTGTCTAACACACGGCTACTTTATCCGGCCAATCATGAGGATCAGAAATTAAGAGAAAGTAAGATCGAACTGCCCTTGCATATTTTAGACGTCTTACCTGCATGCATATTTGGACTTTATATTGAAAGTCCCCTGATTTCGGCTAGGGAGCCGAGCTGATAGAATGCGACCATGATGTGGAGCCAGAGATCGGCACAGGTACGACTTCTTAACACTATAGATAGGGTGAGTATTCCAAGGTTGAACATTTGGCTTTGTAAGCATACCTAATATTTGGCTCTCTCCTCACCTGGGCACCACGTAGTACCCAGCAAGTCAGCTCTAGGGTCTAGTCATATATTATCTACGATTTCTAAAGATATAAGGTTATAGAGGCTGGAGATATCATGGACTATCTATGATAGTTACTATTTAGATATAGGGGTTTCTTGCTTTTTATGGATATCCATTTTTCTTTTTTTCAAATTAGGGTAGGGGAGATATATTATAGCTATGGGAAACTACTGAGAAAAGAATGATCTTAAAGTGGAGTTTTAGGAGATAAAGGGAATAGATAAAAAGACGACAGTATAGATTATTACTGATAGCTAATACTTTCGAATTCAACCAAGTACAAAAGGAGTGGACGATTGTCTATTGAGAACAAATTGAACAATCAACAAAAGAGTAGTTCGAAGAGACCCCCTAGGGCCCCGAGTCGGCCTCACACGCCGGGAACAAGATGACACTTTAGCCCTCGTGCTTGTATGCCTCATCCTTGGAGATGGCGACGCACTATCAAAAGGACTAGATTAGTATAAGACTATAAGCGAGGATGATCGAGAGCAGCTTACCTCGTTGCCATTTCCTGGGCAGCAGGCGCTAGTGCCTTTGCATACTGCACCTTGGCCATGGTTGAAGCATTTTTGAGATTCACCGCCGCCATAAGTCGAACTCAAAGTACCAAGGAGTCCGTCGACGGTACCAACAAGACCAGCAACAAGCGTGTCCAACTGTCTCTTACCGACATCAATGTGGACGTCCGAACAGCAGGCCAAGATCTGATTGCCGCATTGTGGGCTGACCTCGACGCTACCAGGCTTGCTGTCAGCGTGCTTCCCTTCGGGGCTTGGGATAGCAGCCACGGCCATAGCCAGGGAGAGAAGTCCGGCGATAGTGAAACGCATCGTGATGGATATTGGGTTGGAAAGTAGGTTGTAGAGAGTAGGTAGCAATGTAAAGTTGAAGAGATAATGAGATGGTTGATGAGAGATGTTGACTACCAGACGTCCAACGACCCTTTTATAACTATATGCCAGGTAGATCAAATACCCTATTAAGAATATAACTTATTGAAGTATTAGATGTAACATTCGGAAAGTCAAGATACATTCCAACCCTACTTAAGCCTCTTTATCTCCCTATATATCTCCTTCCGGCTAATTCTATCCGTCGAATCACAATGTAAGAGCCTTCATTCTATCATTCCGATACCATCCAACCTTCTATCTAGTAGTGTGATGTAAGACGAATTCGAACCATGATTTGCTTTTCGACCCAACCCCTGACGCTTGCGGGCCTTCTTCATTCTCATGCCATTGAGATCGACGATGAGCCCGAGTATCTTGATCTGGATGGCCGTTTCCTAGATGTGAGCAAGCTCCAAGAGATATTCACTGGCTTAATCATGAGTGTTCAATACGAGCATACCGCAGGCCCGACTAAGGGAAATCTTTACGTACAATTCCCCCACTTCTCAGTGCAAGAATACTTTCGGTCGGGTTATCTCAAAGGAGAGGCATGAATGTTCGCTATGAAGGCTGACATTGCACATAACGAAATTTGTCGAGTGTGTCTGGTCTACATTCTCCATCCTGAACTTTCTCTGGACCAAATCGATCATTCGAAGATCAAACAGTACCAGTTTGTTATCGATGCAGCTCAATGCTGGTATGGCCATGACATACCTGCCTTCTAAGAAAGGGCCATGAAGGAGGCGGCGAGGCAAATGAAGGAGGCGGCGAGGTAACGTCCGAGGAGAGAGTTATGAACCAGTGCCATATTTAGTCGTCCGTAGGTGAGTAACAATCCTTTCGTCAAGGATCCAACAGACTCACAATTACAGAACTCCTCAGCGCCTAAACATCGATATAAACCTAGATCTCCACTGCTTTTCATATGGCCACACTCTGAATAATGCGTTGAGTATGTTGCCTTCCTACAGGGTGGTGCGAGATGTATTCCACCAAGGAAATGACACAATAAGCACAATCCAATTATGTTTATCATTCGTTTCTTCAAATATGCATAGATAAAGAAATTGAAACAAAAACCCTGCTACAAACTAGCTTAACTTTAGCTTAACTTGCGCTTCAGCGGCCGTACCATAAGTCGAACAATTTGCAGCCATCGTGTTATGACCTCGCATGGTTACTTCGCGGTCGTCAGAAAGCCATCAGTCCGATCCGATAGGCTGCTGTATGTCTTATCGAAGGTCTCATCTTCGCCAACGCAGATTTTGTAACAGACTCTGGCATATCCCTCAGCTTGGGACGCGAGAGTTGGTGCGAGCTCTCGATATGCGAAGCACAGAATCATCCAACATCCCACTACGCCATCACTCATCAGCCCCCATTTTTTAACAACCAAGGGAACATTTGGGACATGAGGAGGATTTCCACCTTCGATAACGAAACCAAGTGACTCAAGAGTCTTCAATGCAAATTCCACACTCTTTTCGTGTTTTCGGGATGAAGCGTAGATTGCAGCAAGAGACAGGTATGGTGAATCAAGTGTAAGACGAGGGATTTCAGAAGCTGGTTGGGAATATGTGCCTGCAAGGTGGGAAATTCTGGCTTCAATCTTTCGCAAGTTCATCCTGGAGGTCTTGAATAATCGTTGAAGGTCGGTTGAAATTCTGCTCCGGTTTGATAGAACACTGCTGCTAGCACTCCGTGCTTCCTGGCATAATATGCAATCACATTTGAAGCCCCAGTGCTGTAGATTGAGGGGAAATTCTTTTGGATCACGCAACATGGGTGATTGGTACCAGAAGGTGATTTCGGTGTTAGGAGGCAGGTCCCGTGAAGCACGAACGATCATCATGTCTCCAATAAATGAGCGGCGAGCATTGCTCAAGCAAGAGTGGTTAATGTGTGATGCCATCGGCCAGACCCCAGAGGAATGGAATTGCTTATTGACCTTTTTGGTTGTATCATTACCCCCTTTCATGCAGTCGATGTGACTCTCGCGAGAGGTAAGTGGGCACCCAAAACCGTTCAGGAGAATGATTCTCTCGACCAGGAATCTGGAGAGTATTAGCTTTGGTACCAAAATAGGAGCGCGGTGACATACGTATCTACGATGGGTATGCCATCCACTTCTAGGACATCCACTGATTTGTATGTGCCATGATGAAGATCGACGAAGTCTGGTATCAGGGACGGATTCTTATGCAGTTTTTGAGTGATCAACTCAATAAGCTCGGCCTGAGTGCCAATAGTAGCTTCGTTCATATCGACATTGAGTAACAGACGGAGATCTTGCGAGGTATCTTTATCGTGGAAAGCGTGAGCAAATGCCTTTTCGCAGAGCAGAAGGTCGCCTGCCTTCACAGCCTCTGTCGTGAATAGTCCTCTCCCATGCGATTGAGTCTGCTTGACAGTCACAGGACCAATGTAGGTGGCGCGGTCAAGCGTCGGGGGCCGACGCTTCTTAGCCTCCAGCACCATTTTCCTGAACTCGTATTTTCCACTGTCCTGCTCCATAAGCCGAGCAGATGCTCGTGAATACTCATGTGCGGCCTGGGTGTTATCTGGATACTTATCTGCAAGTGTTGCGTGGATTTCACATGACTCCTTGAACCTTCGAAGTTGATACAGCGCCTGAGCCTTCCTAAAGAGACCTTTTTCTGATAGCTCTGACACCTGCAGCACATTCTCCACATCCTTGAGCGCTGCATCAAAGCAGTAGCTTTTCAGAAATGAAAGGGAACGGTTGAGCTGCGCTATCACTGCCAATTCTGGCGACGGATGGGCGTCCAAAGTCTTTGAATAGCTAAATTATTCTTAGCATCCCCTTGTAAACACAGCGACGTTTTGTAGCTTACCATTGAATTGCCGAACGATAATCACCCTGACCAAAATGCTCACTTCCTTTCTCCTTCCAAGAAGAGGCGTTCTCATCACACTGCGTCACGCGTTTCCTCCAGGATAATGGAACCAGGTCGTCAAACTCGGGGACAAACCAGATGTCCGAGAGGTGGTCCACTCGAATCCCGTAGTCCCCATCTGCCATTACCTTCACATAGGGTTCTTTCACAACAAGAACTGTACCCTCCATAAGGCTGTGTGCATTCGATAGCTCCTGCTCTTGGTTGTAGAGCTGCAGCATCAGAACACTCCCATCTTCATCCTCTACGATAGCCATCACGGCGGTCATCGTATCTGCCGGAGTGACCATTCTTATGAGGAGATAGCGTTGCCTATGATGAGTTTCAAGACACAGGCTTTTGATCATAACCTTGCTCAACTTGCTGAAAGGAGTATGGGATGGGGGGTAGGCAGGTGGCAGAAACGAGGATCGGATATTTACTGCACCACCGGGGCGTTCCGTATTCATCATTCGTCGAAACATGAACTGCATCAAGATCTCATCTTTGGACTTTGGGGATTTTGCTGGACGGCCCTTGAGGGCTTCCGCGTTCTTCAGATTTCGCTTATGTGTTTGAAGATATCTGAAGTACTCCGGAACATTGGAGACGTCGTGGGTATCCATGCTGGTGACAGAAAGATGATTTCAAGCCGTGTTGGCCTTTGAAGAAACGTAAGGAAAAGACAAGAAGAAAGGATTTCAACTGCCTGAGAAATTATTTGAGGGGAAGGTGATAGAAGAGGATGCATTGTAACCAGGCGGGGTAGGAGGTGACAGGGGGGTTCGCTGGCAAACAACGCATCGAGCAAACATACCGAATATGGTAGCATAGACACCTGGGTAGACACTTGAAGTAGCAGTGAAAAGTACAAAATTCCTAATCTTTGAACAGCTATCAGTGCCTGCTGCATGCCAGTTCCCACTCCAGCACCAAAGATAACCTGGTAGCCAATCCATTTGCCACTCCCTGTGTCAGGCTGGAAGGTGGATAAAAGACTTGCCCCGACTGCCATGAGCAAGGATGAAATAATCATAAAGGGGGTATAATAGCCGAATTGTGTAACGTAAGCCCCTGCCACAATAGACAAGATGACTTGAGCAAGAAGCATGGGAAGGTTCATGATGCCTGATTTCACTGCTGAGACACCTTTGATTGCTTGGAACCAGATAGGGAGCTATACTTTGTTAGTTTTAGACTTGTGTATGATTGATTTTGGAACACCCACGTAGTACACCAGGGCAAAAAAGGCCGCTCCGAGACAGAAGGTGAAAGAAGTACTTCCCCATACATTTCGGTTTGCAAGAACGCGTGGTGGAAGTGTGGCATTCTCTTGTCGCCAGAGCTGCACACAAACGAAGACAATCATCAGAGCTCCGAAAACGACGAATAAAGCAATTATTCTTCCGTCGTTCCATTGATAAGCGGAGCCATCCCATTGTAATGCCAAGAGTACGCATATAATAGACGGAATGAAGAAGATCGTGCCGATGATGTCAAACTGTTGGATCTGCTCCCAGAGAGATAATGTCGATTTCACTCTTGGGGGAGTATGGTAGAAGCAGAGCAAAAAGATAAATGTCACAGCACCGATTGGGAGGTTGATAAAGAAGCACCAACACCACGAGACATGGTCTGTGAAAGCTCCGCCCATTCTGGATGTTGTATCAGTTCGTCTTCCTCGTGAAACGGATAAAAGGTTGATATCACATACAATGGCCCTGCTACACTCGCAATCCCATACATACCCCCAACAATACCGGTATATAGAGGTCTTTTTTCCAATGGCACCGAGTTCGCGATGATTAAAATAGCACCGGAGAATAGACCAGCTGCTCCAATTCCAGCAATCGCTCGACCAAGTATAAGTCCCAATGAATTCGGAGTTACACCGCAAACCAAAGATCCGATTTCGAAAATGACCAATGCTGAAAGGAACACCCATTTGATAGAGCAGAAGGTGTAAAGCTTTCCGAAGACCAGTTGCATTGAGCATGTGGCGAGGAAATAAGCGCTACCATACCAACCTACATTGTCGAGTGCATGGAATTGGCCTGTGATATGAGGAATGGCTGTCGCAATGATTGTGTTATCCTGTAGAAGAGAAAGTCAATATTCGATCTAGCTTCTGGGAGTTTAATTGTACTAACCAGCGCCATGCAGAAGATTGCAAGGCAGAGAGCCGTGACGATCACAGCTTGTTTTATTGGCGATGGGTAGGTTTCTTGGTCATCTTGGACTGACTCCTTTTCGGACATTTTGCAGGAATTTGATTGTTTTATTGTAGAGGAGAACGTAAAGAAAAGATTTTGGTGAGATCCCCAATCCGTTTTTTATACGTGTCGGCCTTCTCGGATTCCAACCTCGTCCGAATCTGAGATAGCTAGGGTTGCCCGAACCGCCCGAAACGTCCGAACACCAGTGAATTATTGAAATTGCTTATTGAAAGTGCCACACGAGAGCATTCTAGGCAGGCGAACTTGCTGATCGCGAAAGCTGGCCATGTTACCCCTGAAGCAAACGTCCTGGTAGATCAAGGAAACGGCGTTGCGGCAATTATATCTGGATTTTCTTTGCTGCGGATTTGAATTCTCAATTCTTTATACCAATTGTTTCTTCTTCTTCTTCTTCTTCTTCTTCTTCTTCTTCTTCTTCATTGCGTAAAATATACAACGAGGAAAGAGAATGGCCAGGTCGAAATTATTCACTTGGGAGTTGTTTTCGTTTCATCTATCGCTACCGCAAACCGGAATCAACTTCAGCCCAAACCTTTCTGAACTCCACATGATAGTTCCAAACTACGTGTAGGGAAGTTACGATGCTTGGTTGATGTTATTTATTACTTAGGGAACACGTACTGCAAGCATGAAATATCATCTCCATATGGAGGCTGCTCTCGAAATACGGAACTGGTTCAGCGAGAAATACGTTATCACTCTACGCCGTTCGAGATGGTTGGATGAATTATTGGATACCAAAACATTTATTAAGAAAAGCGTCATTGGCATATAGTAGGTATGGAAGCCTTTATATAATGACTTAATACGACTGCCAATTCTCTGACCGAGGTTAGAAATTGAGCCTTAGAAGGCTTTGTATAATGACTTTGGCAGTCATTATAGTCATACATTCATACTAATACGATACCAATTGATTGTCACTAGGTTTACCACACTTCCTTACTTCTCTTAACCTAGGCCGCCTTTACGGGTGATGGGTATCTCCTAGGTGACCATGGACGGGCAATGTCGTAGTCTAGTCCCGTCGTCGAATAGTATAAGGTCGTTGGGGAAGTTGGTCACGTATCGCTGCTCGACCACTGCCCTAGGCCGTCGACAGCCTGACGAAGCGCACAGACGTCGTCAAGTAGTACACAGAAAAGAATGTCGACAAGCGAAACGTCCTGTCGTTGAAAAAAGACTGGACGTCGCCAGGACATGCTACCAGTTGTAAGCACTGAAAGCAGAGGGGAAGATAACGATGATGTATTCCTACCTACTGCAGCTACTCTATGCGGTAGGCATATCGCGTGATCAGACGGTGACACGAACGCTTCTTCGGCCGAAAAAGTCGCTCGTCGCAACGCCGCTTGCAGAATACAGCCCTATGGATCCGTGCGACTAAAACGTCCAACGAGGCAGCTGTTAGAACTGGAATACATTGTCATTAGTACCATTTTGAGATTCTGTCACTCTTACATAAGAGCACCCATCATGCTATATCAAGTATTCTGGAGCAGAAACTCGAAACTTGTAGCAATAACGTTGATTTTATCAAAGTCAAATACGCCCTCAAAGCTCCCTCTTGTCCCTCGATATTAAACGGTAAAACATATAAAAGAGGGTGCTGGCTTAGACTACTGACTCAATCGACGAGAAAACACGTCGCTGATTCCCGTATTCTATTGATCCTGGATTCCTCGCCGGTAGGGTATTGAATGGGATGGTACTGTTTGGTACTTCGCCGCTGAGGATTGTCGAATCCCTGACCTCCAGTGGGAGAATGAACCCTGCTTTGATAAGAGTGTACTTTGTTTCGAATCGAGTGCGCCATGTGGTATTCGTGTACTTAGTTATATCGGCAAGGAGACAGGACTGCTGGAAATTCTGAAACACCACTGCCAGGGCAGTCGTATCCGACGGGCGGCCTAAACAGAGGGGGGGCGCCCGAAGTTCCATCCGCTGGGGCGAGCTGACCATCTGTATGCCATAGCAAAAACGCGTTGCATGAATTTTGGATTTTGTTCCAGGAGTAACCTGTCCCAAGGACGGATGCCCTGTGAAACAGACTCGAGTCGATGACACCGTGAGACTTCCTCAAGCCTCCAGTGTTCGTGTTTTGAGCAACGACATAAACATTCTGCCCATCCAAGGCCGCTGAATAGTTCGCCCATCCCGTTACCAACGGATATCCAGGAGGGCTGACGACATCAGGAAGCGAAGGACCTGAAATCAAACACAGGTCGTGATTGTAACCGGCAGGGTATTGTTTGACATTACTTGGGGTATCGTACGTGTGGGTTATAGTTCCGATCTGGTAGAGTTAGAAGTGTAATATAAGTGTAGAATTGACTTGGTGAACGCACCATTCTGTTAGACGATGCAAGCGACACTTGTTTACCAACCGGGTTATTGTCGGTTGGGGTTTCCTTGGTCATAACCAAGGCACGGTCATCTTCTCCTGCTTTGAATGGTAGAAACTGTTGCAATTTCCGTTTCGCTTTATCGACTAAGGTGTCAAAAACTCTCAGCCGATTTCCAAATCTCCCGGGCCCCGGGAGACGGACGAAACCATGAGTCACAGATGTGACTGCTGTAGAACCATTCTGTAACCTCAGCTTTAGCCCGAGGCATCCAGCGGAATCGTTGATCCTTTGTTCCGAAGTTTCCTTGAGGACAGTTCCGGACTCAACAGGTGCCGTAGTGAAGCTGTAGTCCGTGAGATGGAAAAAGACACGAAGACCAGCAAGTTCGAGGGGCCACACCTCACTGTACGCATCATGTACGTGTCGTTTGTCTGCAAAAAGAATAATCAGGAAACCTGCGATAAGCACGTGGACACCGACCGCCTCTGGGAACAATTCTCGGAGGCTGTCGAGATCAGCTGGTGTGAGGAATCGCCTCGGGTTGATATATCGGTCGAAGTGCTCATTGTATTTGTCGGGCGATCGGGGGGTCAGGATCCCAGAAGGTATGTCTAAGAAATGGTCTCCAGGGAAGTAATGGATTGGTCGACCGCCAGCATACACACTTTGTGATGCTGTGAGGGGAGACCCGATAAGCCAAACAGGCTCTCCGGATACGGACTCTGCGACAAACACGCTCGCCTGTGAAGATAGACTGGGATGGTGGTCTCTAACAAACTGCTCATTTTCTTTGTTTGTGTGAGTTATTGATTCCGCGCGAAACGCGTCTGCGGGTGAGCTGTCTTTAGATGAGGAGACTGACGGAAGAAACTTGGTCAGCGCTGAAAAACTCGATCTCCGCAACCTGAGAAGGGCCGACATACCATGTAGGATTCGGATCGAAGATTGCTCATTTATGGTACCATCGGAAAGGATGTCTTGGTCTCTGACTGGGATGGGAGGGTATGCGAACCCCACTTTCTTGCGACGTTTGTAGTCCGAGCTCTCCATGTGGACAAATGATATCTGCCTTAGTTGTGGATCGAAAACGTTATCAACGTGATCTGCAGCGGGATCAATCAGTTGCCCCCACTCGACCTACTGACCGCTCTGCCAGCTAATGCCCTCGGATCGGAAAAACTCGCACGCAGACACTTTGAGGATGGGCTTGATGGAAAATGACAAGAAGTCTGATGAGAGCTATAAAAAAGTGGACGCAAAGTAGTACTATAAGGCAAAGTGCTTCTCTGAGCGTAGACTGAGTGCTCAATAGTTAGGTAGGTGCTGGGCACGAGCAGTTTCTTAGGTAATCACTGGGCACCCCCGGGGCGACCCATTTCACCGCCTTAGGTAGTTACCCGACGACAGGTAGCGAGTGCTGACTATCATCCTTTTACTACCTTCCATAACATCAGCGTTCACCCGATTCATCAGCCGGAACGCGTCAGATTGGAAGATTCGGCGGTGTCTCCAATGATATTAGCGCAGCCCATCATTTCTGAAGCCTATAATATTCGGATCATGGAGGATTGTCGAGTACCATGCATTTATGCATGCTGAAATTACCAGGTCTTTACAAACCGGAAAATCAATGGACCGTCATGATAACGGTACCATACAAAAATACATACATTGCTTAATCAGCTATGTCCGCCGAGATTGGAAAGGAGCGGATTTTGTCATTTTAGTTAGAGAATTTACACATGTACCTATACGTACCGGATATTCCCTGGCGGGTGGGGCTTTCCTATTTGAGCTGCCGCCGCTTTTATGAGGGTGCTCAGGCTCAGGCTCACTGAGTAGATGTCAGCACGGGCTCAGATCAGTGATCATGCTCAGATCAGTCACGTGTATAGTCACTGATGCTCAGTGAGTGATCATTGGATGCTCTCTGATTACTCAGTGATGCTCAGTGTCCAATCAGTGAGCAACACTGACGCACTCAGCCCGCCGCACACTATACCTAGAAAGGATTAGCCCCTACATAGGGCCATTTATACTGTAAACGGCGGACCTGCGAATTACTACATCGGGTTAGTTTTGCCTTTTTAGGTTTAGCGCCCCAATATGCTGTCAACCAACCTTCAATGCCGACATAAAAGACCCGTCTTGGCGTCCTGTTCTCTTCTGCACCTTCGGCACAACAGGACGCTAACCCCACGCGCCCGCCACTCGAACCCAATAATCGTTCGGACAGTGGGTCAGGTGATCAGCTTATGCTCTCGCCACAGGTCGATGGCACGGGAGATTCAGTGTATACCGTCCCATTGACCATTCCGTTCAGCGTTGGGACATTGAATATTTCCCGCACAACGGAAACGAAGATGATGGCTCAGCTGTTATTGTATCAATTGCAAAATTTACATCAGGTATGCTAGGGTCTTGATCGACGGGTCCAGGGTGCTGAGAATATGCGGGGAGAGAAGAACCTATGTGCAGGGTCCAATGCGCAGCTCCTAGAGAAGGTGGAAGAATTGCAACGTGTGTTGGCGGCGGTCTGTACGCAGACACCGATGTAGAATATGTGTGCGACTTTTCAAGAAACAGGAGTGGCATATTGATGATCTGGTCTTTAGTCTCCAGGCTTCCTCTTTATAACGTTCTTCTTCTTTTAGGCTGTAGTCATGGTCTCAATCGTTGGCTATCTGCCCCGGATTCGGACGCCTTTTGGCCACCTGCGCAAACCCGTTTCATTTCATTCCTGACAAAGCCGCGTTCAATCCTGGACACACTCCAGTTAACAGGGCAAACCTGATTATCGGACCCGTAAGTTATACATGACGAAGGACTTTGACAGAGAGCAAGACTCAACTATTTGCAGATGACGCAGATACCATGGCTCGATTGGCTCTTGCATAAGAACTGGGTAGCAAATCTTTTCAAACGCGAAGCCATTGCCCTCTGCTGGACTACGTCTTGGCGAGTATTTCAGAGCGTCAGGAAGAACATCGGAAAAGTCCCAAATCGCCCTCCAATGCAAACGTCGACGGACCCATTGCCAACTGTGACTTCCTCGGGTATTACCACAATGCCCAGGAGAGAAAGGATAATGTGCCACTTCGATTTGTGTCAACCTGGACTTTTGACAATATTCTTGGAGGGGCCGACTCCACGGCTTCCATGCTTCGATCTGTGGTCACCCTGACGCACTGGAAACGGTACGGGCCGAGCTGCGAGATAAGCAACGCACTGCCACCGGGCTCACTCTACCTTTCCCGCAATGGCATGAGCTGCAGAACCTCCCCTTCCTCGACGCCTGCATTAAAGAGTCACTCCGGCTTGACGCTCCATTTGCTATGCCTCTTGACCGAGTAGTTCCGGCGGAGGGAGCCACAATCTGTGGTCACTTTTACCCTGGAGGCACCGTGGTTGGCATGAGTCCATATATTACTAACCGCTATAAGCCGACATGGGGTGTTGATGCGGATCAGTGGCGTCCCAGTCGCTTGTTGGAAGGCGAACCGTCGCATACCAGAAAGCTTGAAGCCAGTCTGCTTAGTGTAAGTCACGTTTGGCCGACTTGCCGGGTACGTTCAATGTCTGATTGTACTAGTTCGGGGCCGGGACGCGAGGCTGTCTGGGCCAGCAAGTCGCCCTTTTTGAAATCCATACTACTGGGTCGTATACCCAGAGAGCGTGCAGGCCACGGTCAGAAAACTTGAGTTCAAACAGTAGGTAGGACATGTCCCAGAGAAGAGCTACAAACACTGCATATCGTCAGATTTATCGAGACGCTCCTTCCCTGTCAACCGCAATTTACCCGGAAGACTTTCTCCATTGGCTCTTTCCTAGAATCGCCATTAGAAAAGACAAGACCAGATCTTAGATGCGCAGAATAGTAGACTTTGTAAACCACCAACATTCTTCAAAATGCCAGCCCCAGAACCACCAAAGTCTGTTGTCGAGTTCTTGCACGAAGTTTTTTTGGCCCCCAGTTGGAAGGCCAGGATATTACAAGCAGTTTTTTGGTCTTCTTGTTCTGTTGCAACATGACAATGACTATTGCAGAATCGCCCGGGCTTGGGCTTTCAGGTAAAGTACACGGAAAGCCTATGTGCGCTGTCACACTGGGAATGGCTGTTTCAAGCTTCATGTGCATAATTACTGATTGATTGTCCATAGGTGGCTTGGCCCGCGCCCCCCAGCCCGACCAGTACCAGAGTGCTCCGACATCGTTGTCGTGGCCGACATACCCCCAGTGCCACCCATCCGCCCTCCGGACGCCGTTCGGAACGAACCTCAGGCGTCTGCATCTACCTCTAGCCACCTCCGACATCGCCTCCAGCGCATTAACGAGCTGCCAGCCATAACTCTCGGCCACTCTGTAACCTGCGGCTGCGAAGATTGCCGCAATCGCCGGTTTAGCCGGATGACTCCGATGGAGGAAGGCTGGCCTGAATTGTAAGTAAGGAGTACACTTAAGCATTAACATAAAACAGATATAAAAGCCATTTACTTGCATTTTATTAAACATACATACCAAGGTCTGAACACGGCGAAATCCTCTATCTGAAATTGCCTGGCAATGGAAACGACTAACATTGGATCTAGAGTTCGATGAGCCGTCAATGCCGAAAGCCAAGTTTTTTCAGTGTTTCTTTACTTTTCTTTCACTTTTTCATTCACTTTTTTATTACTTTTTTATACTTTTTATTCACCTTTCTCTTACTTTTATTTTGACTTCTATAGTCTTTCTTTCATTCTTACCCTTACTTGTACATAGCGTTAAGTCCACTAGTCCAGGTTACCTTTGTACCATAGTGAGACCAATTGTGATAAGAGTCACATAAACCACTGTTAACCGTACTGGTAAACACTTTATATTTTGGGGATTGATAGTAGCTACCCGTTTATGTTATAGAGTAATATTCGGTCTAGTAAAGTATACAACCCTCGAGGAAGTAAAACCGTGGTGTAGCCGTAATCCGGACTAGAGGATGTCCTGCTATGTAGGCATCTCACTACCTAGGTAGGGTTCGTCTTTGACGATGTTGGATAATGTCACGTTTTGCTTAGTTCCCGTAGCATGGCAGTGCCCTCTCTCCTTTCATGAAGGAGAAAGAAAAGACATCAGTATTCACATCATGCGTTCTGGTGTGTCTGTTTGCCGCCACTTCTGATAGATAGATAGGTTCATTATTACGTGTGTCACTCAAATTTCTGTCTTAGAGAGTTGCAGAAACCTATGTATGTTCTGCTCACCACTGGCTTCAATTTTATATACCCGTCATCCTGACGATTGCTCTCATGATAATACTAGCCCACGGCCGGTTCCTTTCTTAGGCCCGGCGATTTGACTTTTAGCCGATATCCCTGGAAATGTCTCCACTGCAATTAGAACTCAACAGGTAATCTGTTCGATTTCACATCAACCTCCAATCCGAAGGTCCTTTAGCAGACCCAACATCCTAACATTCTTGAGTAAAACGATATTTCAAGATGCGCTACTACATGTGGGGTGACAAATCCGACGAAGAGCTTGATCTAGAAAGCTCTGGAGATATATGTCTTCTTCAAAGATACCGATACGCTACCTTCACCGACGAAGATAATCCACCCATGTGCCCCATTAACCTAAGGGGGCTATTGCAGACAGAAGTTGCACTTCGGGAGAATACTCAACGCGAGATGGCCTTGAAAGAGAAAATAGGGCATCTCTCTAAGGAAGACACATACGTGACTGTTCTTCAGGACTTACAGGAGGAATTGTCGACACTTTCGACGGAATATTGGACCTTAGAACGACGTTGGTGGGAGATTAGGTCTTCGTATGACGACGGCCCGCTGACCAGAGGTATCGATTTCTGGCGCTCACAGCCAAAATGGTACATGCATCAAGTACTTGTGGAAGATTGCATGGGGAGAGGAGGCTGTTGTGGCAGAGACTGTGGATGCTGTTCTCATCGCCAGTCAGAACGGAAATTTGCAGTTGGTCATTGTACCGTGGAATGTTCTTGTTGCGAGAGAGCCCGGGGGTTTGCACTCGACCCTGAGCAGAAATCCCAAATCCGGGAGTCCTTCAAACTTGATTACAAATCTATCCGTGCATGGTATTACAATCGAATAAAGACCGCTTCTCTGCTAGGGTTGATGGCCGGTAGTTACGAAAACCCTTTGGATCTCATCGTTGACTTGCCGCCAAGATATGCAACTCCCTCTGAGGAATCACAAGGGAGCAACTGGAAGAACTATTTGCGGAGATCTTCACGCTAACGTTGTCCGAGAGGAAGAGCCGGTCAGCTGCTTCAGAAAGTCATACTTGCTGTTACTGTTCCCAGTTTTGTGTCGCTGTTATACTAGAAGGACGAGCTGTCCATGGATATAGTGGAGAAAGAAGGAGAAAGTGGGAGTAGGAGGTTGAAGAGATATATACCTGTCATCATTGCTCTACCTAGCTAGCTTTGCTTGCAGTGGAAAGTATAGCCACCCAATTCGATTCGACACCTCCATCGCTGCCGTAGGTGTCTCTCGCGTAGTTCCAAGGCCACATGGAGCTTACTTGAGTTCATCTCCCGTTGTTCCTCGCCCCAAAATGCCTTGGTCCCATGAGCTTGCGCAGTGAGGCCGCCATTGCGGCTGAGTCTGGATTATTCAATGAGCAGAAGCAGACAGTCTAAATGGGGGTTCGATCTCGGCGTCTTCATCATATGAGTAGTCAGAGCCAAGTCACAGCCAAGTCACAGCCAACGCGAGCGGTGCTAGACCCAGCCAGAACACGAGATAGCCCTCGCCAACGCACTTTCGTTGTGCCGAGTCCCTCTTTTCCCACGCACGTCGTCCATGATGCCGTGTAAGTCTCTCCCATGCTGAACGTAGCCATATGGCCGGGAGAATGTCATCAAGCCCATTGTATCGTAGGATAGAGATTTCATCCACTGCGTCACATCGAACTGTGCTCCGGTGGGCACAAACCGGCGATCAAGCTCGTCAAAGAACATTTGTGAAGCACTATCCATTCTTGGATCAAAGGAGGATACAGCGTACGAGAGCGAATAATACATAGAGATGTGCTGCTTCGTCTCTCGATGTTTCTATCGCTTAATTCTACGAATAAGATATTATATAACTAATCTTATTATTATCTAGTTTTATAAACTCTTCTAATAGCTAGTTTTAGGATATATAAGTAGTATTAAGATTATAGTTATTATTCTTATTAATAGCTACTCTAGAAGTCTCTAGTAGGCCTTGACAAGTCCCGCAGCACCAGCCGATTTTTGGTCCCGGCCCCGCAGCACTAAATAAATTCTGGTGCTGTGGTGCTGTGACCATACCTATTTAGGCTAGGAAATTACCTAAATAGGACGATGATCAGCATAATAATGCCAAGGCAGCACTGAGACTAGCGGCTTGGCGCCCACTTGGCGCCAAGGCGGGACCAAATCGGCGGGACTTGTCAAGGCCTAAGTCCAAAGCCCGATTAGGGGATCGCCGGACTGGTAAGCGAAGTATTCCGAGGGGTATTCCTAGGAACATAGGCTGAAATAGTGAAATGGCGGGTCAATTGAATAGCCCCACTGTGAGATTTTTTACTTAGATAGGATCGAGACCGCTAGGACGAACGGTCACGTTGATTGCGCCCGTCCTTTTTTGATGGGCATGGGAATGGTTGCACGTGACGGGATTAGCGTGTCGCATTTTATTGATGTAGCTTGCTCATGCCGCTTAACCCTATACTCAGCGAGCACTCAGTGAGTGGATCAGGGTGCTCAGGGATGATCAGGTGATGCTCAGGGAGCATATCAGGTTGATTACGTAACGACACGTGATCAAGTCAGAATACTCAGGGGCGTGCTCAGTTTTACTCAGTGATCGAAAAGTGGTAAGAGGTGAGCACTAAAACGGAAAGGGAAAGGTTTTGAGTGCCAGTCATTATCCGGTACATATGTCAGATTTACCATACATTATCGTACCCGTCTATTTCTGTCAAAGATCTATGTGACTGACGATGGATAACGCAATCTTGACAGATTCATCGCGTCAGCCGAAGAAAGTGACACTAGCGTGCGAAAAATGCCGCGTCCTGAAGGTCAAATGTATTCAACCCGCGGAAGGACAGCCTTGTACCAAGTGGGTGTCACATCTGTGACCGCAGACTTCCCCTCTAGCTAATTTGAGTAGATGTGCCAGATCAAACGCTCAATGCGTAATTTCACAGCCGAGACAGCGAGCTCGAGTTTCACGAGCGAAACCGTACGTGACCGTGGAGGATGCTGTAATAAATAGCCCACTTTTGCTAATAGCAAGGAAATGAAGGAGACTGGTCGATCTTGAGTCCAAGCTCACCAATATAATCGGTCTTCTATCGCGCCCTACCGCACCTTCTAGTGGAGTCGAACCCTCCGTTAATTCGGATTATGGGTTGGTTTCAATTCCTGAATATTTCAGCGACAGCCTACACCCAACAGCTGAATGGATGAGCGAAGAGTACGTGGCTGGTCCTGAATTGAGCGAAGGCTTGGAGTCGAGCGAAAACCAGGATACTACCGAAAATACCCTAGAAAAGTCTTGGGATGCATCCACTGTAATGGACGCCGCGTGGATCACCGACTTGGGACTCAGTCCTGTCGTCCTGGAGCATCTTATAGATAGGTTCCGCGGTATGGCGTACTACTTTCCATTTGTGCGGCTCTCAGACACCTGGACTGCTGCCTCAATGGCTGAAGACCGCCCCTTCCTATTACTTGCAGTTGTTGCTGCTGCTTCCTCAAAGTACTGCCATCTTCAAGATGCTCTGATTAGACGATTTAAAGAATCTCTCAGTCAGCGGGTGATCATAGCTGGCGAGAAAGATTTAGATCTGCTCCAGGGATTACTTGTCCATCTTGCCTGGTAAGATCTCATTACCCACACTTCTATTTCGTTGGCATCGGAGGCACCGGCAAGCTCATCAATGTCAGGTTCCATTTCCACTTTGTTCCAGGAAGTCAACAAACCTACCAGTATTTACAAATCGCAATCAGTATGGTCGTTGACCTTCGGCTTGATCAAGAGGTTGCCGACTTGCTTGAGCAGCAAACCGAGATTGGCGATACCCATACCCGGGAAGTATGCCGTGCTTACCTTGGCTGCTATTATATGTCTAGCATGTAAGATGTGATTTCCTACACGGATAAGCGCTAATAGGCATGGGCTGACTTGGATAGAATAGCAATGTCTTCGGGAAAGCCAAACAATCTGCAATTTCACGAGGCCATGCTTCGATGCGCTATTATGCTGCAACAACTGCCAGAAGTTGATACAGACCTCATGATATACCCGGTGACGAAAGTGCTACAGTTTGCAGAAGAAGTTTGCGAGACTTACAGGTCCGAGGGCCTTCATGGCACTCGGCTGTACATCCATGCTGAACGATTCACGACCCGCTTAGAAGAATGGTGGTCGTCTCTATCGACAGATCTTCGAAACATGGGTAGGCCCCTCTGAAGCTCTAGGCTTCCCAGTTAACTGATTGAAGATTACCTAGTATTGCTGATCAACAGCTATCATGCCGTCAAGATCCGGATTCAAGAAATGGGCTTGGTATATTGCTACGGACAGCGAAGGCCACCACCTCCAAAAGCACAGAACGATTCCACTATATTATCTACACCTCCAATGGTCATAAGCAACTTAGTCAAATGTGTCCGCTCTACCAAGGAGTATCTCGATTTATTCTTCGCCATTCCCACCGCGGAGCATACTAGCTTGCCAATTTCCGCATGGTATCAAGTCATTTTGGCGGTATTTGTGTTGTACAGGCTGTCTGTGGGACTGCCAGAAGTACCTGAATGGAACAGGGAGATTGCACATCAATCTGTGGATCTACAGGGATATCTTGACACATTGTTGTCTAGCCTGCAGGCTATTAAGCCATCGCCAGATAGGCAAATCCCCACCAAGAATCTCTTTTCAATGCTGCCTCAGATCCTAGGAAGTGTGCAAATTTCCTATGCACTAGCAAAGGAGAATCTTGGCCAGGTTCATGATAGTAACCGTGCGCATCACGAGCTTGGGGCTTCAAAAATTACAGCTTCATATACTCGAGGGACGCACCGCTGCCCTGCGTTGCGATATTCGAACCGCCAGGTCGCTCAGGCTCCGGATCAACCCACACTACAAAACGCCATTGCTACGGAAGTCCAGAAGATAGAAGATGAGAAACTTTGGGGTGACATTCTGTTTATGGACACATTTTCTAGCATGACGAGTTCATCATCTGCAGAGACTTGACAAGTTATCCATGCCCCAGCCCTCAACTCTGCCAAACTACAGCCTCAGCATGACGATACCTCAGATCTCATCGGGAAAGACATGAGTGGAAATCTTCTTTCCGATCGAATCGTATCGCTGAGGCAGCACATTGAAAAGTCCATCAACATCCCGGGGTTCATAATCAAGCGACAATCCCGCCTGAATAAGAACATCCAGTCCAAAATTCTCTTTCATCCAATGGGCAACCATATCCATCCCCGCCACAGCTCCACTCCCAGTCCAAATATTACCATCAACAATCCACTTCTTCTCCTTCGTCCACTTGACATTCGGATATTTCTCCTTAATCCAATTGTACTCGAGGTTATTGACTGTAGCCCTCCTACCATCCAGAACACCGGTGGCAGCCACAACCGCAGCGCCGGTGCAGGTCGTGAATAGTAGCTTTCCAGAGGCAGCATGGCGACGAATAAGGTCCTGCAATTTCGGAGGAAGATTGCTTTTCTCAGGAATATCCCCGCCCACGATGAGGATATCCAACTCCGGGACGTCATCCACAGTAACCGTAGGCACCATTGTTACAAAACTTGTAAGCATGCGCACTGGCTCCATGGTCTCGCCGATATGATGGAAGACGAATTCGGGTGCCTTTGCTAGAATTTTCGGGTCCACGGGCGCGTATCGATTGATACCCTCCATAAGCATCTTGCTCGCGGAATTGAGCAGATCGCATGGTCCGATGACGTCGATGGTTTGGTAATCGAAGAGCAGAGCGCCAACTTGGATGGGAGCCATTTTGGTAGGAGTTTCAAAGGATGAGTTTCAAATGCAGTTTGTTTTGCTTGTTGATGGTTAATAGAATTGGTTGTCTTTGCTGCTTAAATACTTAGAGCTGTCATTTTCTGGAATATCACATAATCGCGGCGCGGGCCGTTCCAAGGGCTCCGTCCTCCGTGGTTGATAATCTTGGCACGGGCAACGAGCTAAACTCATGGACCGTGTTCCGTGGTCGATTTAAAATTCATATTGGAAGATTCTAGAGTTTTAGGAATTGCTTATGGAGGGGATGTTTCATCATGTTAACGTGCAGTTCCTTCTTAGGTGTCTACCATTAAGATTACTAGTAGATTGTCAGTCAGCTGCAGTACGGAGTATAGGTATTCAACCTGGGCAGCAAATCTTAGCCCGTAAATAAGGTTCGAGATACTTAGGCTCAACGTCATGAAGTGTATATACTTCAATGTATCTCAATCTTCATCTCCCTATAACCCTGTTTAATTTAGGGTATCTATATAGATAAGTATAAATCTTTAAATATAATAACTAACCTTGGAAGTGGTGGAGCATTTCCTTCTCGATCTGGACGAGCTTACTTCCCCTGATAAATACCACTGTTCTTGTATTTACGCTTCCTACATCTTTACTTTACTTAACATATACGCACTTCAGCTATTTCCACTGTATAATTATTAGCGCCGCCCCACCGGTCGGTGGAGCATCTCGTTACTATCGGTGGGACCTGTACATGTACATACGTATGTTGTGTAGTATGCTGTCGACCCAATAAGACGCTGTACTAGCCCCAACCAAGGCGCTTTCCGCTGAACTGCGCCTTGTTTGTTACCGTACGCCACGTAAAGCTCATCACTGCCCGACAGCGCGCTTGTGCGGGGCAGCTGAGCACCTCAGCCTCCCCTATGCATCGCTTTGATTCTCCCTTTGACTGTGACAATTTTGACCTCTCGCAGTATCAATCTCAAATGAAGAAATGTCCTCAATATTATGTTGTGGTATCTGGCGCCGAAACCATGACGGAAAGGGTCCCGGGCAACCGGAGGACAGTCTCGCAATCAAAGGTTCCGGAGCGGAACGTTCCACCAGTATGAGGCTTCAGACCGTGGACTTGCTATCCTGTAACCCAAACTAATACGTTATAGTCCATAGCCAAGTCACAACTGAAACCAAAGTATTGACGGCACCAGGCGACACGGAGACTCCTTCGCCGCCTGCCGCCCAGCAAAGCCTCAAATCCGGTTCTCAGGTCCAAGTGCCGCAAAAAACTCCAAACGATCAAGCATCCGAGCATTCGAGCCGGCTAAAGCCATATGCCGATAACTACGATCTGTGGACTGAAGCCCTAGAGTCATTGAAGGAGGAAGAAAGGCGTGATGTGGAGGCATTGCTGGGTGATCTGGACCGCGACGACACCGACAGAAAAGGTTTGGTAGAGGACATCCAAAAACAACTAGATGTGGCATCGAAGAGCGAGCATCACGACAGAACGAAATCGATTGACAAATTCTTATCGGTGTTGAACAAATTTCTTTCCGTCGGAGATGTCGTTGTCAGCTTTGACCCTGTTCATGCTGCCCTGCCATGGGCTGCTGTTCGATCTGTTATCGTGGTAAGTAGACCATTGGTCCATGTTTTTTACTTGGATAACCTATTTTTTCCGACAATAAAGCTGAAATCTTTAGATTTTGACCGCGGACCGCGAGTTAAAAGGGTTTATTCTCACTGGAATGGCCGAGGTCGCTTCGCTCCTCATACGATGTGACATGTACCAGCAATTATACATGGCTCCAGATTTCGCTCTCCGCCCGCCTGAAGACGCCTTGGATAAATTGAGCGCATCTATCGTCCAAACCTATGCTGATTTACAGTCATTCCTTGCCTTCATGGTAAGACACCAGCGGAGCAAGGTCAAGATAGATTCTGTGTTTAAGCTCGAAAATGCGCGAAGCCATATGAACAAGCTCTCTGGGAGTGAAAAGCTGTTACTGCAAGCTGCAGACGACTGTGAAAAGGCTTCCGATCTATCAAGTAGATCTGATCTCAGAGAACTTCTTAACCTCGCAGCGGAGATCCCTACCATTCGAGACCAGGTGTAAGTGACAAAGCACTTTGAAGGGAGTCAATGCTGATAATGTCTGCAGAGATTTGGTTCTGGAACGAATTAGCGCCAAGGACGAGCGCGAGCTGCTAGAATGGATCTCGCCGATACCATATGGAAAGCATCACACATTTAGAGAAGAATCTCGAACTCACGGCACATGTGAGTGGTTGCTACAAAACGAAGACTTTTGTGAATGGAGGAACTATCAGTCATCGGCGGTTCTGTGGCTCCAAGGCTCGAGTAAGCGCACGACGGCCATTTTGTTTGACTTCTGTGACGCTAACCTTTTTAGTGGGAGCCGGGAAAACATACCTCACTTCCAAGGTCATTGACCATGTTCAGGGTCTACTTAAAAGCTCATCACCCGATGCGGGTTTCGCATATTTTTATTGCAATCGGAATGAAGATGAACGAAGAGATCCGCTTTGCATCCTTCAAAGCTACGTTCGCCAACTGTCAACTGCTGTTGGAAGTACTGGACACATACGCAAAAGGCTCCAGGTCGTCAGCGATGAAGCAAGACGTCAGGGATCTCACCTTGGCCTCGAGGCATGTAAGACTCAACTACTGGAATCGGTGAATTGGTACTCTCAGACCACAATCATCCTTGATGCCCTGGACGAATGCTATGAGCACTCGCGCTGGCAGCTCATCGATGTGATACGTGAATTGGTATCTAAGTCTGATCGGCCGCTTAAGGTATTCATCTCAAGCCGACCCGACGAAGATATCAAGACGCAGTTCTCCGGGAAGAACATTGAGATCTACGCGATAAACAATCAAGATGATATTGAGAAATTTGTCAATGCCGAAATAGACAAGCCTAGACACTGGGGGCCGATATCCCAATCACTGCGGAGCGACATCGTCAGGACCCTCCGTGAAGGCAGTCAAGGAATGTAAGTTCCGTTTAGTTGAGAATATTTGAAGATTTAGCTCATACAAGACAGGTTCCAGTGGGCGTACCTACAAATTCAACAGGTGCTTGAACTGCCAACTGAACGAGACATCCGGGATCGGCTTGGGAGACTTCCGATTGGACTCAAAGAAGCATACGATGAGATATACGGAAATATTGCCAAATTTCAGAATGCGAAGGTCCTCGTAGATCGCGCATGCAAGTGGGTGATGAGTGCCTGTACACCTCTCAGCAGCGATGAGCTTTTGTCCGCAATTCTCATTGATTCTGACGAAAGTTCCATCGACTTCGAAAATGAAGTCACCGAATCAGAGTTACTGGTTCTATGCAAAAACCTACTTGTTCTCGACTCTCAGAGGGAAGTTTGGAGGTTCTCCCACCTGTCGGTAGTGGAATATTTTGAATTCAACCACTGGGGCCTTGGGCAGGCTCATTCTGATGCTGCAAAAGTATGTCTCAAGTTTATGATTGAAACATATGGGAACCCGACCTACGAAGGCGATATAAAAAGCTCAGGCGACAAGCAATACATGAACCCCCCGAACAAGCTTGGCTCCATTCATCCGTTGGAAAAATATGTGCAACAACACTGGGTGATTCACGTTACAACATACGAAGATCTAATCGCCAAAAAAGGACAAGAAGTAGACTCTTTGTTAGCGAAACTTTTAAAGAGTTTTCTTGGTTCTCCCAGCGAGAGCAGTTTTCAATACCGCGCCTGGTATCGTAGCCTTGGCTCCGCATATGACAGCCCATCGTCGAGCTTTTTGCGTGAGAGGGGCAAGTTCAAGTTCGGCAACATCAGCCATCAAGAGGATATCTCTCCAGAAGAGGTCACAATTTGCGCCATGTGCCGCTTCCCGTTGTACATTCTCCTACGGGACTGGTGGGACAACGCAGAGTTCACTATATCACAGACCAGTGAACAAGGCAACACCCTCTTGGTGCTTGCTGTTAAGGCAGGTTGCAAAGCTATCTGTGAGGCACTTATAAACCGAGGAATAGAAATAAACCTTATGTTGCCTAGCAACAGTTACGGGAGCGCTCTCGCCGCTGCCGCCTGGGGAGGAAATAAAGAGATCGTTAACCTCCTTATTGAGAATAGGGCCGACGTGAACCTTACGTTGCTGGGTGGAAGCTTCGGGAGCGCTCTCGCCACTGCTGCTTCAAAAGGAGATAAAGAGATCGTTGACCTCCTTATTGAGAATGGGGCCGACGCGAACCTTACGTTGCCGGGTGGACACTATGGGAGCGCTCTTACCGCTGCCGCCTGGGGAGGAAATAAAGAGATCGTTAACTTCCTTATTGATAATGGGGCCTACACGAACCTTACGTTTCCGAGTGGACACTTCGGGAGTCCTCTCGCCGCTGCTGCCCGGGGAGAAGATAAAGAGATCGTTAACATCCTTATTGAGAATGGGGCCGACGCGAACCTTACGTTGCCGGGTGGGAACTACGGGAGTGCTCTCGCCGCTGCTGCCCGGGGAGGAAATAAAGAGATCGTTAACCTCCTTATCGAGAATGGGGCCGACGCGAACCTTGTGTTACTGAGTGGAGACTTTGGGAGCGCTCTCGCCGCTGCCACCCGGGGAGGAAATAAAGAGATGATTAACCTCCTTATTGAGCATGGGGCTGACACGAACCTTACATTGCCGAGTGGAGACTTCGGGAGCGTTCTTGCTGCGGCCGCTTTTATAGGAAATAAAGAGATCGTTAACCTCCTTATCGAGAATGGGGCCGACACGAACCTCACGTTGCCGAGTGGAGACTTCGGGAGCGCTCTCGCCGCTACCGCTTATAGAGGAGATAAAGAGATCGTCAATCTCCTTATTAAAAGTGGGGCTGACGTGAACCTTACGTTGCCGAGTGGAAAGTTCGGAAGCGCTCTCGCTGCGGCCGCTGCTATAGGATATAAAGAGATTGCTAACCTCCTTATTAAGAATGGGGCCGATGTGAACCTTGCGCGTTCTATCGCCGCTTCTCGGGGACTCAAAGAGATCATGAAGGTGCTCGTCGAGCTTGAGGCCGACGCAACCCTCGTGTTGTGGAGTTGAAACTACAGGAGCGCCCTATCCCACGGGGTAGGGTCTGGCAGACTCCAGAGACTCCAGTTAGGGTTTCCGCTTCACTATGGTAACATAAAATCGTGACCTAGACTCCAGCCTGTTCTCGTTGCCAGACTACTAGCGTTCAATGAGCTCCGATCGGTTTAAAGTTCGACCTAGTTATAATTGACTATCTGATGTATCTCCGGTTTGCTTCTGAGCTTACACCTGAGCACCTGGGCACCTGGGCACAGCCTGCTGCTTATATAATCAATCAATACTGGGTCTAGGGGCGTTTGAAAATCGCGATGTTTTGTTGAGGTGCTGTAAGACGTCCATCACTAATCAGTAGCCCCGGCCGAGACTCACTTAACCATTATTGCTCTGATTTCTCTCAAATGCAGATAGGGGTTTCCGACTAGTGAATCTATACATAAGCCTCCAGGCAGATCTTCCACACATATGGTTAGAGCTGGTGTTCGGAGACCCACGTTTCGTTCATCGTTCAGAAATCTATAGTGGGTCTTTGCAGAAATAAGGTTGGTTCCTTTCCACAGCCTTAGAAAGTTTAATATAAGTAACATCTCAATTGAGAGCCAAAAGCCACAGTATCGTATGGGATATACTTAATCTCCTACTCGTCCTCCACTCAGGCTGTTGAAGTAATATAAGGCGAATGAATACTACATGTAACCAGAGTCTTAAAGAATGGAAAGACGATCTAACAATGTATGGTTTACAATATAGAATGTGCCGACTCTTAAAGGAGTGGTACTCGACACGCCAAGTATAAGAGTTAAGATTATTCATAACAATAACCCGGGTAGTGCAGTAATCAAAAGCAATGTCAAACTTGCAAGGTTGTCATCTTAACGAGACGCAGGCCTGGGTTCGATTCCCCTCGAAACCAAATTTCGTGGTCGGATGATCAACTGGGCCATGTACCGCTGGATTCTCCTTTCCTTTCTTTATATCTTTAAAAAAAAACGGTAGCTAGCACTAGAATGGGGGATCGCGCAATATTTGTGCACCAGTGATAGAGCTTAAAAGTATAGGTCTCACCGCCCATCTCTTTGATAAAAAGAGTGCATTCTATTCAAAATAGTACTAAGCATAGAGAGGGAACAGAAATAAAGAAAAGGGCTAGTTGGCGCAGAGTCTGTGTAGGACTTCTGATCAAGTAATTAATACAAATAGGGTTCCAGATAATAAAAGGATATATGTATTTCTCTACAAAATTTTATGGGCACGATCTTGTGCAATTGTTAGGTCAGACCGGATGAATATCAAGGTAAGTACAAAATAATTGTTTTCATTATCCTCGCTATATCACGACAAAGATGTTGCCTAGTCCCGAATATTATGTTGAGCTGGCCGACAGCTGGAGACAAGCATTATTTGTAGGTACTTGGATGTTTTGCAATCAGTATAGCCTTTGCCACATAAATACAGATATGATGTATATATGTTGGTTTATTGTGTACATATGTAGAGAAATGCAACAGCCTAGTCAGTCCACGTATAGCTCTGCTAGAGGTCGCCCTACTTTTAAAATAGATTGGGTCTCACTGCATTGTCAAAAGCACCTCCCCGCCAAGTACTGGGCTTGTTTTATCATGAGGGGTGTTCTCTGAGAGTCTCTACTTAAACATCATAACAGCACATCCTGATCTTGCCAACTGTCTCCAAGATTGTCATTTATCTTTCTATACTTCTCGCTTACCAGTTTGGTATTTTTCACCATGTCGTCCGACTCGAAGACACCTTCCAAGTATATGCACATAAGATCACGGTGTGTTCATCACCTCGCCGAATCTCGCTAACCATCAAGCAGATCGATCTTTGCAAAGCCCCCAGTCAAGATCGTTGTGGGTAGTGAGGAACACGTTTACTACGTCCACCGTGGAACACTCGAGGTCCACCCCGCATTTGATGCCAGACTGAAGGCATCAACTGACGAATACGAGGAGGCGATTGATTGGAGCGGTTTTGACGAGCAGACAATTGATTGCGTATTGAGCTTTCTTTATACTGCAGGCTACCAAGCACCCCAAGTGACCTCCGTGGCAGATGAGGAAGATGAGGCAGATGCGGGGGAAGAGGCCCCAGCGCAGGCTGAGGAAGAAGATCAAGAGCAAGAAGAACAAGAAGTAGCGGTTGACGAAGCGGAGGAAGTGGATGAAGAAAATGGTACTAAACTCCCGTCTTAGATCTCATTTTCGAAAAGCAAATGAGAAGCTAATACCAAATCAACCCATGCAGAACCAACTTCACCACCTGAGAGCCCGCAGTCACAACCTTCATGGCCACACTCACCATCTCCAATATTTCCTGCCCGTGCAAGGTCACTGTCACCAGTTGCAGAGTCCTCCATAGCCCCAGACTCCCCACCATCAGAGGCCCTATCAGAGCTCGACCTAAATGACCGACCCCTCACTCCTCTGGAATATTGCGATGGAGTCACCTTGGCCACGGAGCAGACCTCAGCACAAAAGGTCACCGACCATGAAAAGCAAGACCAAGACCAAGAAGAGCCAGAACAAGAAACCGAAGGAAACAATGCCGCCGAAATTTATCTCCACGCCAAAGTTTATTCCTTCGCACGTCAGCTTGAATTTGACAAATTGGAGCAATTCGCTCTAAACAGTCTTGCCCAGGTCCTTGTTTCCTTAGAGCAGACAGACAAGGTCCTTTTCCCGTATTTGGTGGATGCAATCCGACTCATCTACAAAACGACCAGTGCGGTCGACGATGCAAGGAACTTGCTATCTCAGTTCGTCGCACTGCGGTACACCACATTGGTTGGAGAGGATCTGGACGAACTTATTACAGAGGGAGGAGAGTTTGTGGTCGATTTGTCGCATAAGCTTGCGAGAAAGCTGTCCACCATTACGATGGCATTGAAGAGGGTTGAGTATCTTACCCAGAAGAATGAGGAGTTGAAGGCAGAAAGTGCAGAGAAAGATAAGGAGCTGAAGACTTTGAGGGAGGAGGTTAGACATGTGCCAGCACAGGGATTTCCAGCTTTCACGTATCAAATTTGAAGGGGATATGCCGGGCAATATGGTTCACAGCCGACGTTCGATGGACTATTGAATGAGTTTTTATTTCTTCTCTCATATGCCAGGTTTTAGACAACATCTCCATAAGTCTAACACATACCTCAATACACAGTTGACGACTAACCATGACTCCTACTCGGGAACTATATAGTCCTTATGCGAAAAGCCTTGGTCTACTTCAAGAGTCAAAGGGGTCTGTGCAACCAAGGGATAACCTTCTCAGCTTACATTTTAAAAATTCCAAGCACATATTGGTCTTGGCTTTGTTTATATATGACTTGCTATAGCTCAATCGTTCACCGTACGGGTCCCTGGGTACCTGACCATCGACGTCATTGGTACGATCGTCGATCTTATCCGATCAAGCTTCTGTGGAGTAAACCGTAGCCCCCAAGACATTCCACGATGATCCCGCGATCCTTTCTGCGCGTACGAACGCTGTTGGCAGCTTTGACAGTCGCTGCTTTTCTACTCTGGGCAATATTGGCCCAGTTCAAAGCCTACATCCCCAATCTCTCATCTCAGGCCACCACTTCAGACCTGACACCGTCACATCGCCAATTTTGGCAGGAATTCCACTCGCTGCTAGAGAAATATACGCCAGACACAGATCCTATTGTCGAATATGAAAGGGCCTCCACACAAGGCTTCAATTCCCACAGTCCATCACCGCGTCCAGACATCCTCGACGTTCCGGAGCGAGACATTATCACCATCAAAGAAGTACATGCCGAATTCATCAATGCAATCACCGACTCCCCGCCCGAGCTCCCCTATGACCCCGGCACGAAAGGCATAGTCTCAACAGCAGGGGGCACCTACCTCCCAGTGCTAGTGATATCCCTCCGTATGCTCCGCCGGACCGGCTCCACCCTCCCAGTGGAAGTCTTCCTATCCGACGAAGAAGAGTACGAAGGCTATATATGCGAGGTAGTCCTACCATCCCTAAACGCGCGATGCGTAGTTCTATCCCGCGTTCTCATCGCTGCCCCAGCACAAATCCAGAAATACCAATTCAAGCCGTTCGCAATGCTCTTCTCGTCCTTTGAGGAAATCCTCTTCCTGGACGCAGACGCCTTCCCCCTCAAGAAACCAGAACATCTCTTCACGACCGAGCCCTTCCTCGCAAACGGAATGGTTACCTGGCCCGACTTCTGGGCCTCCTCTGTCTCCCCATTCTTCTACGAAATCGCGAACTACCCGCCCCCACCAATGGACCTACGCCAATCAACAGAATCGGGCGAAGTAGTCCTCTCCAAAAAGTCACATTTCCGCTCCCTCCTCCTAACAACTTACTACAACTACCACGGGCCTTCACACTACTACCCTCTTCTCTCACAAGGCGCCGCCGGCGAAGGCGACAAGGAGACCTTTATCGCAGCTGCAACAGCCATGAATGAATCCTTCTACCAAGTCAGCGAGTCAATCTGTGCCCTCGGCCACGAAACACGTGGCGGCATAGCCGGCTCCGCGATGGCGCAGTTTGATCCAGTGCAGGACTTCGCACTGACTAGCCGCGGTGTATGGCGTGTTAGAGGCGATCATGCACCCGCGCCAGACGTCTTCTTCATCCACGCCAACTTTCCCAAGTTCAACCCTGCTACGATCTTCGATCTCCATGAGGTAAACCCTGCGTTTACGGATGAGGGTGATTATACGCGGGCCTGGACGTTGCCGGTGGATGTTGTACACGAGTTTAATAGCAAGGTTGATGTCGAGAAGGGATTTTGGGAGGAGATTCGTTGGACGGCTTGTGAGCTTGAGGATAAGTTTCAAAGTTGGGTTGAGTATGAGGGGATTTGTGACGCAGCCAAGGAGTACTGCAGTGCTGTCTTTGGGGTGGATTGATTGTACGTCGGAGCTGCCGGTCCGGCATATGTCATGACGAATTAAAGTATACCCTACCGTACTACTATTCTTGATTTTTATATCCATCTTCGCCGGAGCCTAAACTCATATCTGCCTTCCAGTTGCTGGGTTTATTTGCCATTGCTGTCTCGTTCAAGGCAATGGTGGGACAGCCATAAACTAATGCACTCACATTTTGCATTCCGGCTCGCATCTCCCTTTACCAAAGCTCCAGTCAGACCTGGATTGTAACCCTTACAGAGGGAGAGCCATTATGCCCATCCAAGAGCAGTAATACTACACACCAAGGAGATAGTGCGCTTCTAAAAAGGGTTTGAAGACAGTGCTCACCCACTGACTTCTAGTTCCTTCCATATGCATTTCATGTATCTAGTTAAAGCCCTTTCCACTTTCGAAAAAGATATCAGTCAGCATCACAGGTAGTAATCAGGACTTCCAAATCACATTTTGGGTTATTCAATTTCCCCAATACCCATATTTGATTCTGATAGCACTAATTCAACCACCTCTTAATGTCTCATTCAATATAGCCTAAATCACGGAACGCTCGTGCTAGGATCTCATGAATTGTTTCATCTTTCCGTAGGGTATAATCCATCATCGAATCCCCAGCTATAGCCGCTTGCTCCGCCGCTTGGCGTTTCACTTTAGCATATAGTTCCAGATCCGACGGTGTTTTGAGTAGCCAATCACGAAAGATACGATGGCGTGTAGCCTCGGGCGAGTCAGGACCCCACACGTGGAGATTAACATGGTAAGCTCCAGGCCAATCCTCCACAAAGAACCGATGCTGGTGCCACAGCGGCTCGCGCAAGATGAACCGAAACCCTGCCTCTTCAAGCGGCTTCACATAGGATGCTTCATCCGTAGCGTCCTTTATTGTCAGATCAACATCGATAACGTCCTTAGCTGGCAGGCCAGGGACACTGGTAGAGCCGGAATGAGCGACGTCCAGGACCAAGGGCCCGATGGCCTTTTGAATTCGGACTTTGACTTCTTCGAACCGTTGCGGCCATTCTGGGTTCGGCTCAACTATGGTAATGGGGGGTTGTACCGTTCGTTGGGCTACCCGTTCTACTTGCTCCGGTTTGTACTCGTAAGGTGCGAGAATCTGCGCAACTGTAACGGGCATTGTAGATATGATGGTAGTTGGTTCTAAGCTGGTGGAGGAGAATGGGAAGGAAATTAGAGGCTTGAACAGATGAAGCGGTATATACTGATTTGGTCTGTGGGTGACTTTTACTTGGACATAGGAAGTGACAGAGGAGAGTGAGACTTTGGGTCAGATTCTGAGTGAGATTTCGCGCTCTTGAGGCTCTAGTGTTTGAATTGTTTGCATTGCTAGAGTTAAGACAGAGCAGCGTATTATTGTATTGGCATTCCGAGTCTATTCCTAATACAGACTAGTAAGTTTTGGCATTGATTTTCTCGAAAGTGTACATGTGTATGTAGATGGGGGGCATTCTACATGAGATCCAACGGACTAGTCATCAGAGCAGATTGCATCGATATCCCCACACCTATTTTTCCATGGATACGGTGACGGGAGGAGTCTACTATGAGTTACCAAACTACTTCGGTTGCCACTGCTGTTTTGTTCTGCACAAATTTGATGGGTCAAAATACTCTACGGTATTGAATTCACCGTATGGATAGGTTAACGCCATTCGTTGCGCGGAGAAGCATAAACATGCTGTAATAATACATGGTTTGTCTCGTACTAATTACATTTTCTACTTCTTCTTCATTCAACTTCATATGAGACGGTTCTACTACAGTCCAAATTTGGGTATTTCTACCGAGTCGCTATCATATACTGAGGTGCAAGAATACGATAACTCGGTCACATTATTCTCACTTGAAGCACAGGTATGTCCTGGCGGAGAACGGCTTTCATGCGCATCCACACACCCCGGCCTTTTAACAAGCCAAGGGTCACTGGAAACTCCAAGCCCACCGATATTCTTAGAGGAAACGCAATATTTAGGAGAAGAATATCTACAACGATCTACTCCGTCCGCGCTTCCTAACCTATGCCTACGATTTCAGGATATCATGCTACTTGTCCACAACCAGCCGTATCTACTTTCCCCTGGTGGAACGTCTTTTGTCTCCCGTCGACCCTCTTGTATTTGTGTACACTTGTCATGAGGATTCTTAGACTCGATTAGGCAGATAGTCCGATCCTATACTGCCGGAAATAAACCAATATATTATGCGACTTGCAACATGTGCAACACGGATTACGAACTTCAATTTTTTGAATGCAATTAATATGATATAACCCTAGTCATCACGAGGTAGATCAATTTAGGCTCAGGTCTAAGCCCGGATGGTTCCCAATGGACAGACCACAGATGAGTCACTGATTCGGTACTTACCTTCGATGGATGTAAGAAACCTATCTAAAAGTCCTCGGGTCATTTTCGAAGCCGCTATCGCAAAGGCCTGGTCGGCCGAAGCCGTTTGTTCTTACAACCTTTCTTTTCTACGAAATCGTCAATACAAAACCCTAATGTAGCGGAAATATTTTCTGCGTGACACCATATGGTTCTTGTCCCCTCAGAAGCACATGGGGCGTCGGGGAATCTCAATACGCCAGTGAGGGCGGATGGTGCTGCTTCCATGCCAGGAGACAAAAAGTTGGATGCACACTGTCTTCTCTCTCTCCCTTGCTATACTCAAAGGCTTTATAATAATTGTAGCTACAAATGCATTACACGTGATTTTATAAATGGTCTATTAAAGTGTTTCATTGCATTTTGTAAGGAGTAAACAAAACAAAACAGGGGCGGTAATTCAGGTCTCTTGTCCGAAGGGAAATCTACGCCGACTTGCCTAAAGATCCACTAGGAACCTGCCGCCAGAAGTCACCCACACAGTCACCACCTGCCACATGTTATATAAAAAGTCCGGTTGTACTTTTACGTATTCAGTAGAAGATATATTTTACTACATTCTATATTGTACAGCTATCTATCATCCTCGCGATGTTATAAATATCCTTCTGATCAGATCAAGTCCTCCATCTTCTTTCTCTCTTACAAATTCCTCGCCATGGTCGTCTCCCCTGGGAGACAATGGAACTTAGTTCATTAAGGATCTTTTCCTATATCATGGCTTTACAAAATCAATATAACAATATCTATGCGCCCATTTCAATACGTTCATCCAGGGTCTGTAAGATATATATCTAGATATAGTGTTTAAACAATTAGCAAAACTCAATCTTCTAGATTATAGACTAGTAGTTTAATTTGTATATGATTGAATATCCAGAAGCTATGGAGGTAGACTAAATACATTAGAGATTATAGAGGGACAAAACCCACCTTATGTTGAGCCGCGTGGATCCCCCCCGAGATCGGTCCCGGCAACCCGGGAGGCGCTCTTGGCACAACTTAGGGCGAGCTTAATCTTACAAGGCGCCCCCCTTAGAGCCTCGAAAAGGCCTAATGTTAACCAGCTAGATATATAAAATAAAACAATCCAAAAATCGTGTCTCAATATATAGTATACAGTATACATAGTCTACATAGTCTATAATAGTACATAGCCACATCCACAAGTCTTCTACTCGATCTTCAACCCCTTCTTCCGCGCGGCCTCAATAGCCTCAATAAACAAAGCTTTACAAGGCACCGAGCTACCAAGTCTAGCACAAAGCAAGAAAGCCCCGCTCAACTTCCGATGCAGCGAGTACGTCTCCTCAGGCGGCGGCGCCAGCCGTTCGCGAATCATAACCGGAATCAGCGCGCGCACGCGGTCCGTGATCGTCTGGTTACTGAAGTCATACAGATCAGGCGAGGAAAGCATGAACGGCTCCGCGATTGTCGTGATCGAGCTCACATGCGCGTCAACCATCGCCTGCGATTCCATTCCTGTCAGGTATCCAAGCTCGATGGAGAGGTCGTGGCAGGTTTGGCGGTCGTTGCGGGAGGCGGCGATTAGTGTGCGCACGTAGGTTGTGATGAATTCTTCGGGGTAGGCGCGGGATGCGCCGAAGTCGAGGAGTTCGAGTTTGTTCGTTGAGGCGTTGTATAGGAAGTTTGTCCAGTTCGGGTCCGTCTGCATGTAGTGGAATTCGGCGATCTCGCGGAGGCAGAGGCGCATTATTTGTGTGCCGATCCAGTCGCGTTGGGCTTGCGTGAAGTCGGTTACTTTGGTTACGGCTACGCCGTCGAGCATTTCCATTGTGAGGACTTGTTTGCCAGAGGCATGGGCGATTATCTCCGGGACGATGAAGACTGGGTCGTCGGCTAAGAGCTCGCGGAAGCGGTTGGCGCCTTCGGCTTCACGGATGTAGTCGCATTCCCAGGCTAGTTCGGTGCGCGCGTTCGCGATTGTTTTGTCAAGGTACAGACCCTTTGGGAGGAGGCGGGAGGCTGTTAGAAGAATGGAGAGGTTGTTCAGATCGCTGTCGATTGAGTCGGCGACGCCTGGGTATTGGATTTTTACAGCGACGGGTTGGCCGGTGCTTTTTAGGACGGCTGAGTGCACTTGGCCGATCGAGGCTGCTGCCATAGGGATCTCGTTGAAGGAGGTGTAGAGGTCGCGCCAGTTGGGTCCGAGGTTGTCGGTAAGGACTTTGTCGCGCTGCCAGGCGGGCATGTAGTCAGCGCGATCTTGCACGCGTTGGAGGACTTGCTGAATTGGTTCGGGGAGCATGTTGGAGTCTGGAGAAATTAGCATGAGCATTATAATGAGCTAGACGATGCACGCACCTTGGATGCTCAGCATCTGTCCCAGCTTGAGAGCTGCACCGCGCATTTTTGACAGCTTGGCTACCATTCGTTCCATGTTACCAGCACTGAACATAATCGAGCCATTGTCTTGGCTGCCAGTGGCTCGCCGGAAACTTTCCCCGACAGCGCCAAATGCCATCGAGGTCGCCAGACCACCGTACTGCCACAATCTGCCCAGTCGAGAGGACGGTACACGCGACTCTAGCATTTGGTACACTTGTGGCTCCTTGGCCTCGCTGACGGTCTTGTCACTGGGCACCACGTCTTCGGCGACGCTGGCCGCAAGCTCCTCCATCTCCTGTGCCTCGGATTTTGGAGTAACCGTAGAGACGGGCTTAGCGACATCCTGGACCGACTGCCGAGGCTTCGCGGCCAGCTTCCAGTCCCTTTTTGGTGGCGGCTTTCCGGAGATCATGCGCGACACTCTCGGGCTGTGGAAAAGACCTTGGAGCATCTCTTCGGACATCTCCTGCTCGACCGGAGCAGGTTTGCTCGCTTCAACAGACGAGTGGAAAACATCCGCATTCAACCCATCACTACCAACTTGAGCTTCGCCCGCGACCCTGGGTACCTTCACTCTTGGCAGGCTCGAGAGATCCGGCTCCGACCGAAGCGATGGCTCATAGAAGACATCCTGCTGCTTGCTCACATCTAGAGCGCTTGGTTTCTCATTCCCGCTGTATGTTGCCGTCGAAGCCGGGATCTGCGATTCTGCCTCACGTTGCAGTTTGCGGGCGAGGTCGGGGGTGGCGACGTTGCAGTGCTAGCGGGCGGCTTATCGGCCGATGTTGACTTGTCGGCGAAGTCTGCTGGGCTCGGCGAAGGTGGTGGCGAAGGTTCGTCAAATCGGCGTGCCAATGCTGCGGCGGCTTGAGCGGTCAAAATCAGGCCTTCTGTTTGGGCCTTGATGCCCTTGGTCAGGGAGGATGTGCGCGTGTAGACATCTAGCTGGCGTTGTCGGATGGCCAGGTGTTTGGCTGCGACCGTTTTGGACACATTGAGGAATTGGATGGCGTCGAGCAGACGCTTGCCTGACATGGTTGTGGAGATGACTCTAGTTCATGACGCGGGGAAAACAGGGTAAAAAAAGATCAGATAGCAATAAACCGGTCTAGAAACGGTTAATAATGTGAAACAGTCAAGCTGATAGGGAGCACTCGGAGTTGTGCGGTCTCCGCCCACTTTTTTTGCCGATCGGCGAGCTTCTTCTATAAGACCGCGCTCGATACCCTCCGGTCCAGATGCTACATTAGTTCGCGCATATTAAATCTGTATTCTATACAATCCACATATATTATCCCTCTACCACATATTTGATAGCTACATTATGATCCTCAAAGACACCCAAGAGCTAGAGGCCGAGGTCACACTCCTTGAGTCGCAACTGCAAGATGCGCGCGCCCAGCTAGCAGCCTCCGAATACCCCAGCCCACCCTCCTCATGGGCCGTTAAAGGTACGCAAATATATACCTCCAATGTCGCATACCTCTAGCTAACCCATTCCTAGAACAATATAATACCAATAATAACGAACTCACCACCTCAACCCGCACATCTCTTCACGCCCTCCTTCTCCTCTCAGACTCCGCCCTCCCACTAGGATCTTTCGCCTACTCCAGCGGACTAGAATCCTACCTAGCGCACAACAAACCTTCCCGCATAGCTCCAATAACCTCCTTCCACCGCTTCCTCAAACTCTCCATCGCCTCAATCGCAAGCACATCCCTCCCCTACGTGCTAGCCGGATATCGACACCCCTCAACTCTCGACACACTAGACAACGACCTGGACGCATCAACGCCGTGCATTGTCGCACAGCGTGCAAGCATTGCGCAAGGCCGCGCGCTCATCGGCGTCTGGGAGCGGGCATTCAGAGTCAGCTTTGCTGGGCCTGAGAACCCAGCTTCGGGGGAAACCGCAGCCGCCGCCGCTGCCATTGATGATTTATCCGATGCGTTGAAGTCTTGTTTCGAGGAGGACGAGGACCTTGGCCCCAAGGGCCATTTTGCCCCGCTGTGGGGTGTGGTCTGTCGGGCTATGGGTCTGGACTTGCAGCAGACCGCGTATGTCTTTGTTATGAATCATGCTAAGGCTGTGCTCAGTGCGGCTGTCAGAGCGGGAGTCATGGGCCCTTACCAGGCGCAGAATGTGTTAGCTGGTCAGGCATTGCAGGATACGATGATGAAGCGCATTGCGCGGGAGTGGAATACGCCTGTTGAGCAGGCTGGACAGGTTGTTCCTGCGCTGGATCTTTGGGTTGGGAGGCATGAGTTGTTGTATAGTCGGATCTTTAACTCATGAGAATATTAAGAATTAAGAATCAAGAATCAAGAATCTTCATAATGAAAGACATTGAAGTCATGGGGGCGTGAAAAATCCTCACATTGCATTTGTCATGTTGCTTTGTACTTTTGGGTTTGCTCCGTACACGGTAGTCCTACATGACTCAGAAATCTAGAATAGCTCAGCCTCTTGAGGAAAATCAGTGTGCGCCGGTCTCTCGTCCGGAGAGGATGAAGAACGACGCCCCTGCGCCTTGAGAAACCCACCATTGCTTTGGTTTGTAATGGAAAAAAAGAGGAAAAGGGAGATAAATAAAAACATGCCCCGAGTTAGGGTTAAGCGTGCATAACTCGTCAAACGCCGGCCCAAACCAGACCTGCTAAACCACACAAAAAACACCACACCATGAACCTGTCCGGATGTGACACACTAAAAAGAGATAGACGTAAAGAGGAAACCATCGAAAGGAAGATATAATACAGGATTTTTCAAGGTCGATCAGAGGGTAATATGCATGTGGTCGTTGCTTCCGAAGGATTTACCGCAGTTAGGACACTTGCGGGAGCGAGACGTAAGACGCTCTTCGACGCAATCTTTGCAGAATACATGGCCGCATGTTTTGATCGCAGTGTTTTTAAAATTGCGACGACACACAGTGCACAGTGCAAGTGTCTGAAAGAGGTTAGCTTTGGTTCATTAACAGATGTGGGAATTCAACATACCCGCAACATTTCATACTCCGAGGACGAATTGCCGAGACTCTTGTTCTTCCAGTTGTCCAGACTCTTCTTGGTATCTGAAAGCGACTGTTTCAAGCCAGCGACCTCTGTCTCGGCTTGCCGCAAAGCAGAAGTTGTGCTTCCCAGTGTCGAGTCCTTGGATACTGAAAGACTCTTGAGCTCGGCAACCTGGTTTTTCAGGCCTTCCATGAGGATGTTGCTTTCGGTCAGCTGCTGCTGAATGGCGCGGTGCTTGCTCAGGGCTGCATTTAACGCCTCCTTCGTCTCACTGGCTTGTTTGTCCATATTGGACACCAATGACCGGGTGGTTGATTCGGATTCCTTCAGCTGGGCCACAATATCTGACGTCTTAGAACTTTGCATTCTGAGCGTTCGGACCTCGACATCACGTGCTTCTTTGCTTTTCATTGCGGCAAAGAACTTTTGATCCGCTTTAGACTTCTCCGCCGTCAGCCGTGCAACCTTCTCTTCCATAGCCCCGAAGTCAGTAACTTTCTGCGATGCGAGAGTAGCAAACTTGGTGTAGGCCGTCTGCATCGATGTCAACTCGGTGTTGAGCATGGAGTACTGGCGTTCCAGGCTGGTGTACTTGGCGCGAAGCTCTTCCAGCGGCATATCATTAATATTGTCGTCGGACTTGGAGCCTTCAATCTGCAGTCGTAACCTTTGACTTTCCGACTCTAATGCTGTGATGCGAGCTTCTCTAGCGTCTGCCAGTTCTTGCAGTTTCAGACTGGAGGTCTTCTTCTGATCTTGCGCAGCCTTTCGCATCTGCTGGTCGGCCAGAAGTTCGTCGCGGGCATTTCGTATCCGAGCAAGATCCGTTTCGGCCCTCATCAACTGGGCTTCTTTCTCAGCAATCGTACTTTGTGTTTCATCTTCCACCTGGATCTTGTATGCGGTTCTTTCCGAGCGGTATTTCTCTGCTTCCTCGCGAAGTTGAACATTTGTCGCTTCCAGGTGGTTGATTCGCTTAACTACATCGTCGTATTGTGATCGAAGGTGTTTAAATAAATCAGTGTGGGCGTAATCGTCATCGGTGAATTTTGAAGACTGGGATCCCGATGTGAGCGACAAAATGACAATATAACGACGGGGTGGATCCAACCTTGATTTTGATTTCGGTGATTTGGCTTAGCAGGCTGGCATTTTCGGCTTCCAGTTTCCGGACTTGTTCCTTTTGTTTCTCCGAAATTGCAGTGAGTTTGTTATTGGCTTCTTCCAACTCGGGGTTGCGGTCTCCTGTGGGAGTTCCTCCATTAGCCGGGGACGATTCTTCGCGCTTCGATGGTGCCGTTTCCCCAGGTCGTTGAATACCCATAGACTGCTGCTTTTCCAGCTTTGCAACAGTCAGACTCTTCGCGCGGTCAAGTTTCTTTTCGGCCACCAGATAGCGCAGCGAGGCTTCCTCCAGGCTTTCCTCCAACTGTTGCTTTTCGGCTAGGGTTTTTTCAAGCTCGGCGATCGTTACTTTTTCCTCGGCCAACTTCTTTGCAAGGCGACTTTGTACCTCTGAAACATCGGTAGGCGCATCATTAGACTTGGACTGAATTTGAGAAATTATTGCGCGAATATCCTCCGACCGCGATTTGAGATGCGTCTCGAACTCTTCAACGTTTTCAAACTGCAGGGAGCTTTTAAAGGAGTTTTCTGCAAATGGGGTTAATATTGAAATAGTGGGTGCGAGGTGGGGTAGGACGATGGTACTGACCTTGGCCTTCCGCTTGCGATGATCCGAGTAGTAATTTGACTTCATCAATCAACTGTTCTGAAATTAGTCCTTGGCCCCCGAATTCTTGCGAAGTCGGTACAAAGAAGCGAAAACTCACCTGTTTGAACCACAAATCGATAATACGGAGATGATCATTGTGAAACGTGGCAGCCTTTGACATCTGACTCAAACGTGATTCCAGTGAGGATTTCTCTCGCTTATACTCTTGCATCTGGCGCAAAATCGCTTCTTTTTGAAATCGCTATCGCAAAAGGCTCCGATTAGCTAATATCCAACAGGGGACCAAAATCGAACCTCCAGATTGCGGGCGAAATCTAAAACACAAACTTACCTCCAAATCATCCTTCCATGGCATATCGGCATCTGGATGAGGCTTGCTACCACCGTTAACACCGGTGGCCTGTTTCTTCAACGGCGGAGCGGAGTCATTGTTGTCCGCAGCGGGCCTCTTCCGGTCTTCCATCTTGACAAGACCGGGTTCTGAAGACGCGACGGGGGGTTCGACGGCCGGCATCAGTGGCTAAACTGGCATGGGAGGGCTATTATCACCACCGGACCGTCCGTCAGTCAGCCAGACGCAGATTTCGAAACTGTGTCCAATCCTGTCGAAGGAAAGCCCGGTAGAAGAGAAAATAACGAGTAAAAGGAAGCGAAAGAAGAGGGAGTAAAAGAAGGGCGGGTGGGCAGACGATAGAAGGGGTGGGATGGCAGAGATCGAGGAGTTGAAGACAGGAGGATTTTCAACGAGGTTTAGCGTCCGCTAGTGCCGTCACGTGATTCCCACCCACTTCCCCGGCCTGGAACTTTTTACGATCTTCATCAATCCACACCTTACAGCAATGGGCAGCCATGAAGTCCTTTTCCAGTTCTGCAATCAGTGAGTATTATCTCAGCTAGAAGTATAACTGTGCAATCTCTAACTGTATGTTTGTCAGATAAAACCGGCAAGAAATTCGCCCCGAAGGCGCCTATCCGCCGTGCGCCTGCCGCCGCGCCAGCGAGACGACCTAGTGTTGTCCGACAGTCGCCAGCCGAGCCTGTTCAGGAAGACAAAGCTAAAGATGTAGCTGACGCTGCACCGATCCCTTCTGTGGCTGCAGAGCCAGAACCACCGGCAGTCACAGAGGTCTCACCAGCCGTCGCTGCCCCCACCACGGAACAAACACCCATTGTTTTGAATAATGGAGCTACTCCTCCGATCGCCACTCCTATCACCGCCCCCACCACTACACAGATCGTCACACCTACCGCTACACCCATCGCCAAGCCGACTCCGATACCCAAGCCGAGTGCGATCTCAAAGCCGACTCCAATCGCAAAGCCAACTCCGATCCCCAAGCCGATTCCCATCTCAAAGCCAACTCCGATCCAAAAGCCGGCTGCTATTCCTCTGCCACAGAAACGTAAAGTCTCTATCTCTGTCGCACAACCTGCAGCTGCAACCTGTCTTGGCCGCTCCGCCTACCCCTCCTTCTACTCAACCCACACCATCTCCCGCCAATGTCTCCACTAGTGAGGTTCAGCCTCCATCCTCCGAGGACCATGGACCAGAGACGGCTCTTTTAGAATACGCCAGGATTGAAACAGCGCGGGCCGCAGAAAACCTTGTCGATTCGAACGAAGCTCTACCCCAATCTCAACCTGAAACCCAACAAACTACCCCCGTCGAAGGTCGACCAGCAAAGCGCGCTCGAACCTTGTCAACTACGACTACTCCGGTCCCGGCTCGAAAGAAATCCGTATCCGCAGCGGCAAGCCGCCGAGGCTCCCAGTCAATCGTGCCTACCATCGAATCCTCAAGTGCAACCCCCAGTGGATCCAACCTTTCGACTCCAGATCCAACAAAGCCAAAGAAACGAAAATACTCAAAGGCCGGTACCTCGGATCCTGAAGGTAGCGAAAAACCAAAGCGCACCCGCAAGAAGCGCGAACCCACCCCGGAAGGCGCAGAAACAGTGGAAATCTTGCCGAATGTTGTGAAGATGTCCGAGCTTTGCAAAGATCTGAGAACTGGAAAGAAGTCCAAGCGCGAGACAGAGCTACGCAAGATTGATCAGGCGGAAGAAGAACGGAAGAAGCAAGGCGGGACTCCTGGCCCAGGAACAGGAACCCCTGTCAAGCAAACTGAACCCGAACTAGAGAAATCCGAAAAACCTGTCGATTGGAAACCCCAAAGTGGCCCCATTATGCGAATCGTTAACGGCGAGATCGTGCTGGATAACGCGTCCTTGCAAGTCGATCGTCACGCCGATGCAGCCCGAGCCGCCGGTGACCTTGAAGATGTGGTGGAAAGTTCGTTCACTCGGAAGATAAATCAGGCCTCCTACGGCAAGCGTACAAAGACCGAAACATGGGACGAAGAGATGACGGATTTGTTTTATCGCGGGCTTCGCATCTTCGGTACAGACTTTATGGTTATCAGCAAAATGTTCCCGGGTCGGTCTCGTCGTCAAATCAAGTTGAAGTTCAATAATGAAGAGCGCCGTGATCCGCAACGAATCAAGGAAACCCTGATGGGGCCGACTGAGGCCATGGACATTGCAACCTACTCCGAGATGACAAATACCGTCTACGATGATCCCAAGATTGTCCAGCAAGAGCTTGACGATGAAAAGAAGCGCATCGAGGACCAGCACGCCAAGGAGAAGGAGATGCAAGAGGACATGCTGCGCAACCCAACTGGTGGTGATTCCAAGGAAGACAAGAACGACAAGACGGTTGTTAAGAAGTCGCGCAAGAAGGCGGGCCTGAAGAACCAGGGAGGCGGAACAGAGGAGGTTCTGGGATCGATCGATGACTTTCCCATAGCTTAAGTCGGGAATTCTAATAGAAATCTTATGAAGCGAAGGTTATGGGTTACGGCGTTTTAAGTGTGGGATTACAGGATACACATTGATGAAGCCAGGAGTTCCAGGCTATTATTTGCTAATTGATTTGTTACTTCATAACATTTCTCCCATTGTACATCTGCTAGTTTCATAATAGCCACGAAGAAGCCGCGGGTTAGCGACTTGTTGCTTTCTATATCTTTTTTTTCTCGAGCACATTTTTGGCTGTCTTCTGGTATCTCTTTTGCCTCAAAAGTCGCTAGCAAATGACAGGCGAAGTAAGACAGGTATGAGATCACCTACGCCTGGTCGACCCGAATCCAGTACTAGCAGTCGTAGACGAGAACTGCGGCGGCGAGCGAGAGCTACCTTCACCTGGATCATATCCACCAGACCTGCCCATTGGCATTCCGCCGCGTGATCCACTACCAGCCCATCTCCCCATCTGATAACCAGCCGCACCACCACCTAGCGCACCAGTCCAGAAACCAGGCGTCCATCCCTGCTGACGACCAGCAGATTTGTAAGGATCAAAACTGCTGTACGGAGGCGGCGGATCATTTCCACCCCCTCCACCTCCACCACCACCTCCGCCCCACCCAGGCGCCGGCCCCGCACCCCTACCTCGCCGATTCCCCCACCCGAAACATTGCGACAACAAAGGCCACAAGATCAGAATGAAAACAGCAACAATGAACCCGAAGAATATCAAATCCCCGAGCACAGCCATGAACTTCTGAACACCACCCCCGGACCGGTTCCCATTCCAATCCCACTCCGAATCACCGCCTTTCTTCCCAAACCTTTTCTCCCCAGCCTCGGTCAAGAGAAGTCGGTACTCAACCCCACAACTCCCCTTCACCACCCATTTATCATCGGCATTCCGGTATCCCTCGCAGATGACATCTGTTGCGCCGAGTTTGAATTCTACCGGTAGGTCTGCGGTGCATGTCCACTGCACGTCTTCGATGTCGTAGTCGTAACCTTGGTTTGTGCAGCGCATTACTTCTGGTTGGTAGAGGTTGCATATTTGTTTTGATGGGCCTGCACAGCTGAGTTGGGGGATTGGTGAGACGCGTCGAGCGCTTGTCATGCGGTGGGCGCGTAGTGTTAAGGTTTGAACATTTGATAGTAGGATGGCGTCTTTGCCTGGTGGTTTTGAGCTTGAGATGCATGTTGCTGATGAGACCAGAAGTAGGGCTGTGAGTGCCAGTCTGGTGAGAGTTTGCATGGTTGAATGGTTGAGAGCTGGGCAGCTCTCTCGCTTGTGGTGTAAGATCTGTTGTCTGCAGTGCCTGGAGTATTGGTTGAGGTTGATCTTAGGTTGTGGTTAGTGGTGAGCTTGATGTGGCTGGTGTCGATTTTCAGTGATTAGGCTCCAACACTGTGAGTCAACAGGTGGCGATTACTTTAAGGATTTCGTGTCCTTTAAAACTTGCTTCGACAGAAGTGGAGAACAAACCACTGTGGAATAACCTAATCTATATAGCTATGTTTGCTCTGTTTGCATGCTCTATAGACCTCTACCAATGTAGGTAGCACTTTTCTTTTTTGATTCGCAAGAATCATCAAACAAAATAATATTTACATTTTATTATAGCAAATAACCTTATAGCTGCAACCAGCCCCACCAGGGCCTTGTAAGGGCTGCAAGTCGGATCAACTGCTGAGCACTGTCACAAACTTCATCACAGCTATCGCTATACAGAATGTCAATGCAATGGAACACGGCAGCTACAATGTTAGATATATGGAGTTCGTCCCAGGGGATTGAATCTGTCTGCTTTGATTTCTTAATAAATAACCCCATTGATCTCATCTCAGGACCCGTACAATAACAGAACGTCGACTCATCGCAATGTATGATTCCAGCTTTATGTAAACTTGCCACGGTCTACAGTAATTGTCGAGCAGAAAACATACGAGAAGCCATAGGAGTTCCTTTTAAGGTAAGAGTGCAGATAGTTGAGCCATCATCAAACCCAAGTTTATGTTCAACCAGATACCTCTCGTTGAGAACTTCCCCAAGGCAAATGGGATAGAGGACATTTTGGTTATCCTCTGTTTCGTATCTATGCCATGGCTCAACAAGCTCTTCGAGATCAAGTTCCTCTTCTTCATCCTTCACGAAGTCACCAAAATCTGTCGTGTCTCCGGGGGATTCTTCGGTGTTCGCCATTTCAAATTAACGTGTGTCCATAGCAGAGTGGATGGGGAAGGAGATTAGGCGAGTCCAAGGCGGAGAGTGCCATTCGTCATACCGCTCGGTGGTAGCTCCTGGTGAGTGCAATGATCAACTCCATGCGCCCAGCCGTTCTGGGTTTCGTAGATTACATGCAAGGGGACTCTAGATTCATTGAGATTTCTCAAGCGGCTCCTTTGAACCTCACTTTTGAATCACCCCATGCCATACAGATTGTCAAAACAGTAGGTTTTATCATTTTAGTTAGAGAAATATATATCTGTCATCCACATCATATATTGATGTACACGTCGATTTCTGTCAAGTCTTCCTTCAATGAATACGAAAAGAACAAGTGCAAGACACTCTTCCCTTGAGTAACTTGGTAATTCCATTGTAGCTGGCTACCCCTAGTTGTCTATAATGATAAGCTACGTTAGTATATAACGCGAATATATACCTAGGTAGAGGTGCATAGCATAGGTTGCAGTACTGCAATATCCCGAGCGTGAGAGAAATGATATAAAACCAAGAGATCAAAGAGTAATTCATTCACTGGCGACGTTAAATAGGCTGTCAATGTCATGTGAGTGGTGTTTCTTCAGATTCTGGTCTATAACTTGTTTTCCAGGTCGACATGCTCGATAAAATACAGAGAAACTAGACTTTCTACCCGCCAAGTACTGTGGTACAGTAATTTTTTTTTTTTTCAGGGGTTTTTTTTCTTCAAAAGAATGACAGACTCGAAGCAGATAAATATGCAGGTTAGTCAGAGTTCCCGAAGCAACTGAAGCACTGGCAACTCCCATTTATAGCAGCGAACAAAAACGAGAACTGTCGAGGGGGAAGCGGGAGGAATGAGGGCCATAGAAAAATTAATACAAATCGGCCCAATCAGTTTGATTTCCTAATTAATTGTCGTTTCGGCTAAAATAAATGGATTTAAATACTACACAAGAGTCCACTTGTACGTTCACGCAAGTTAATTACATGACCAAAAAAATATGTGCCGTGACGTAGATACTGTAGCGCACTCACCATAGCAACACCCTGTATAGATGGCAGCTCATTCACCATAGCAACACGCGGAACAATTATTACTGGTATGTGGGTTTATAAACTTTTTTTCCTGCTTCTGACTGCTCACCTTTTTCTATCCCCCCCTGAATCCCTTTTGTTACCTTGGATCGTTCCACGTTTCTGCCGAATGAGATCGAGTCCCACTTTCACCATGGAGAATTATGAGAAAATTGAGAAAGTTGGCGAAGGTGACATTTTGCCGTGTCTGTTTGGCATGGTTACACTTGGACCCTAGCTAACGGACCGACTCGTTTACCATAGGAGCATACGGTGTCGTCTACAAGGCTCGAGAGCTGAACTATCCTAACCGCATCGTTGCTCTAAAGAAAGTCCGACTCGATGACGAAGATGAGGGCGTCCCTAGTACAGCTATCCGAGAGATCTCCCTGCTCAAAGAAATGAAGGACGAGAATGTCGTCCAGTTGCTGAATATTGTACATGTCGATAGTCACAACCTCTATCTCGTCATGGAATTCTTAGACTTCGACCTGAAGAAATATATGGACGCCCTTCCTGTCAGCGAAGGTGGCCGTGGGAAACCTCTACAGAATGGAGCGATTATGAATCTCGGTTTAGACAAAGCGATGGTGAAAAAGTTCATGGCACAACTGCTTGAGGGTGTCCGCTATTGTCACAGTCATCGTATTCTACATCGTGATCTAAAGCCGCAGAACTTGCTGATTGATCGGAATGGTACCCTCAAATTGGGTGACTTTGGACTGGCTCGAGCTTTCCTTGTTCCCCTGAGGAGGTATACCCATGAGGTGAAGGCCCCAGTCAAGGAAATCATCTCGAATATTAACATGTATTTCCTAATAAGGTTGTGACTCTATGGTACCGTGCCCCGGAGATCCTTCTTGGTAGCCCCCTTTATTCCACTGGCGTCGATATGTGGTCTGTGGGGGCTATCTTTGCTGAGATGTGCACCCGCAAGCCTCTCTTCCCTGGTGACTCAGAGATTGAAGAAATCTTCACGATTTTCCGGTAAAAAATCTAGCTTTTTCCCACTATTTCTGAATTGCAGATGAGATTGACTTCTCAATTTTATAGCCTCCTTGGTACTCCCGATGAAGAGAGCTGGCCCGGTGTTACTGCGTTACCCGACTATAAAGGCACTTTCCCGAAATGGAAGCGGCCTATCACCCCTCTGGTCCCTGGTCTAGAGAGTGCTGGCTGTGAGCTACTAGAGGCTCTTCTTCAGTATGACCCTGCAGAAAGGCTTTCTGCAAAGCAGGCTTGTCTCCATCGTTACTTTCGCAGGGGAAGTTCATACTACTCCGGACGCGCACCCACTGAAGTAGCAAAGAAATGATCCACAATCAACATGCTACCCTTATTGAGTTTGAGGTCGTAAATATGATAGACGCTGTCTTAGAACCTAATCACTAAATAAGAAGCTTGATATAAATAGGCTCTGCTAAGCGCAGTTATGAGTCGGGTGCATTTATGGATATGGGGAGGGTTTTGATACAGATGATTGGATATAGATTGGGTACGCAACGTACCTTTGTAATAATTACAGCCTGTTTAGAGGTCCTACGACACTTAGACCACACATGGGCGTGCGGGGAGAGGGTACGGTTCTGTTTCTCTTTCCTCGTAAAAGTTACACTCCACAATTGCGTACTACCATTTGACTCAAGATGGAAGATACCATAGAAGGTACTGCAGTTTACCATTTCCTCGAGAGTCTGATAGATAGGATCCGACTGACACAGCACCCCAAAATGGATATATCTCTCGAGTGCACGCCCAAACACACACCCATTGACGCAGACGTTCCTCTGGTTCACCGTGGTTGGATAGATGAGCTAAAAGCAGCAATCGAGTGCAATAATTCGGATGTCGTGCAAAGGATTCTCAACAGCCATGCACTCCTTGAAGCTGTGTTCATTCACCAGTTCGGACAGGAAGATACTGTTCAGAAAGACTAGCCGCAAAATGTAGAGAATATAGTGTAAAATATGACCAATTGGGGATCTGTTTGAAGCTATTTTACGTACAATACTATCACATCCAAGAAATATTCCGACGGTTATATATTGTACTACTATTATATGCGCTACGTGATTATGTGTTATTCTGAAATCACTCAGCAACCCAGCGTCACTTATTTACCTTTCGCGGAATATATCCCATGTCTCTTCTCATAAGTTGAAAACCTCTTTTCGTACCATCACTCCCAGTCCAAGAGCTGTGAGCGTTTTCTGAAACACCAACAGCAGTCGACCTTGTATTGACGATCGCCCATACAGTGACTACAACTGCCATACAACATCGGATCTTATTATAGAGATTTAGTAGTTTGATCCATCTGCCGGGGCTGATTAGGGAAATGATAGAGAAATATTCCGATAGAGATTGCGTGGGGTGGGTAGGTTGATGTCCCCCGACTTATGGGTTTAGGTCGGAGTCTGGACCAATCTGCTGGATTTCATTTACGTATTGGCCCTGAGCGTTGATATCGCGCGCACCCTTGGCTAATAGTAGCCGCATGACCCCTTCGTGGCCCCTATCTGAAGCAAGCTGGAGTGCAGTTCCATCAAACGCAGGACCTGGGGCGTTGACGTCCGCACCATTGGCTAATAGTAGCTGTACAACGCTTTCGTGGCCATTCGCCGAGGCACGCTGAAGTGCAGTTCCATAATACTCGCCGCCCGGCGCGTTAATATCTGCTCCATTGACCAATAGTAGCTGGACAATCCTTTCGTGACCTTCAGCCGAGGCACGCTGAAGTGCAGTTCCATGATACTCGCCGCCCGGCGCGTTGGTATCCGCACCATTGGCTAATAGTAGCTGGACAACCCTTTCATGGCCCATAGCCGAAGCGGCCTGGAGTGCGGTTCCCTCCAATTCGCCGCCCGGCGCGTTAATATCTGCGCCATTGGCTAATAACAGCTGTACAATCTCCTCGTGGCCTGCTCTTGAAGCAATCTGAAGTGGAGTTCCACCCTCGCCCGGCGCGTTGACGTCCGCACCATTGGCTAATAGTAGCTGTATAACCCCTTCATGGCCATCAGCTGAAGCACGCTGGAGTGCAGTTTCAGAATACCTGGTGGTGCCCGATGCGTTGATGTCCGCCCCTTTAGCTATGAGTAGATGTACAACCTCTTCGTGACCTCCAGCAGAGGCACGATGTAGTGCAGTTGCATTAAACGCGGGACCCGGGGCGTTGACATCCGCACCATTAGCCAATAGTAGGTGCACAATCCTTTCATGACCCCCAGCCGAAGCGGCCTGGAGTGCGGTTCCATTATAATCGCCGCCCGGCGCGTTGATTTCCGCCCCTTTTTCTGATAGTAGCTGTACAATCCCTTCATGGCCGGCACCTGAAGCACGCTGGAGTGCAGTTCCATACGGCCCGAAAGGCGCGTTGACGTCCGCGCCCTTGGCTAGCAGTAGCTGCACAATCCCTTCCTGGCCTGCATGTGAAGCTTGCTGGAGTGCATTTCCATAATAATCGGGGCCCGGCGCTTCAATATCTGCACCATTAGCCAAGAGTAGCTGCACAAGCCCTTCGTGGCCGTTGGCCGAAGCCTGCTGGAGGGCAGTTCCATGCGGCCCGAAAGGCGCGTTGATGTCCGCGCCATTTGCTAATAGTAGCTGCACAATCCCTTCATCCCCTGTACATGAAGCATCCTCGAGTGCAGTCCCATAGTCGCTCCCCTTATCGAGTTCCGAGTCCCATTCGCCGCTCGGCGCGTTGACGTCCGCGCCGTTAGCTAAGAGTAACCGCACAACCCCTTCGTGACCTCTAAGTGAAGCTAAACGGAGTGCAGTTCCATACTCGCTCGGCGTGTTGATTTCTGCGCCCTTGGCTAATAGTAGCTCTGCAACATCTACCTGGCCTCCAACTGAAGCACACTGGAGTGCGTTTAGAGGACTACCTAGCGCGTTGACATCCACATTCTTGGCTAACAGTAGCTCCACAATCCCTCTGGCGCCTTCAAGAGAAGCATACTGGAGTGCTGTTCCATGAAACTCGTCAGCCGGCACGTGGATGTCTGCCCCGTTGGCTAATAGTAGATGCGCAATCCCTTCCTGGCCTTTATCCAAAGCACCATTGAGTGCATTTCCACGCTTGCCGCCCGGCGCGTTGACGTCCGCGCCCTCAGCCAATAGGACTTCTGCTATCCGTTGGAGACCGAGGAGCGATGAATAATATAGTGGAGTCCCGATTTTGTAGTCTCGATAATCCAGCGGCTCCTCTCTCCGAGGTTTATCCGGGTCAAATAGGTTCAACCAAATTGTGTACACTTCACTTTGTTCAAGGAAAAATCTCAACACGCTTTCCAGCACTTTGTCCTCGGTTTCGGCAGGCCGGCAATGGTCTATCCAATGCCGGGCTGAGTACTCAGCCAATAGAAACTCCTCCCGGGTTTCTTCTGCTGATCCTTTCCAATCTATATGCGGCAGGTATGATAGACAAAGCACCGCCATCGTCGCGTGTGACTGTGTCATATTCAGCCGTCCCTTCCACTTTCCACTCGGAAGTCGATCAGTGAGAAACTCCCTCGCGGTCAAATGAATAAAAAACAACTTCGAATCGAACACATTGATAAAGAGACCGCAAAGATTTTTCACCACGCTTTTGAAGTCTTCTGGTGCCCATAAATCCGCTTCTAGATCGTCGTGAGACTCGAAGCCGTCCTTTCCCAAAGCCATCGTCAGGGCTATGTTGGCTTCATCAAGCGATAGAGGTCGTGTTGCGGCCAAAACAATCTCAAGAAGGGTCTTTGTGTGAAGCTCGTTCTTGCTCCGGTCTAGAATCTTTTCGTATGCGTCTGAGACCTCTGAGGGTAGCACGGAGAGGAGTCCTTTGATATCGGATCGTCGACTATATTCACTTGGGCTCTGCTCAATGATATCGAACGTGAGGTGTAGCCAGAGGTAAGTGCGGTTCTTCTTGTCCTTAATCTCCTTCGCAATCATTTGACGGTCTCTCTCCTTAAAATTTCGGGTGACCTTTTGTAGTTTGGCATCGATGACCAGATCTATATCTTTACTGATTTCGGCAGACTTGTCATCTCCGTCAAAATGCAAAAGGGCAGTTGTATCAGGGAAATCATGAAACGATACCTCCAAGTTATCGTAAGGGCGACTGGTGAACAGTAACTTGAGTTTTGACGTTGCGGATAGAGGTTGGGGGTTGGAGTAGAACTCCTTCAGGTTGCCGAGAAATTGCCGCATGCTGTCACTCTTACATTCATCCAGAGCATCCAGGACACAGACAACCTCCCCAAGCTCTGGGGAGCCGACACATTGGATAAAAAGACGCCACAGTTCGGAGAAATTACGTGCTAGATTTCCACCGTGATTTTTATGACTGGTGACTGCATCTTGAATGAGCGTGCCCGTCGGATCGTGCGTGAAAAGCTGGTGAAGCAATGCGCACAAAGCATCGGTGGCTGACACGCGGCGCTCGTCTCCATCCTTGAAGAAGAAATAGCAGATTCTCGATGTCGTGATATTTGTTGAAAGCCGGTTCTCATCGATAAGAGTCCGCGACAATACCGATTTTCCACAACCCGGGCCAGCGGAAATCCACAGAAGACTAGAAGTATCGCTGTCGCGCCAGTTTCGAAAGTCGTTACCCTCAAAGAACCATTCACATGTGCCTGGAACTCTCAGTGGGTTGTAATTCTTGTCATCTTCATAGTCGGACGCAAGTGTTTCAAGAAGCCTTCGCTCGTTCCGGTCTTCATAATTCTTCTGATTCCGACTCGTGTCCTCTTTTAAGACATTGCAAATCTCATCAAGAATACTTCGAGACTCTTTAATCTCCTTCAGCTGACGATCTCGGTGATTGCGAATCTCCCCCAATTCGAGATGAGGGAGATATGAGCTACAATCCTCGCTTGATCGCTCGATTTTTGATTTCATTCCATCCCAATCATTTTCGCCCGCTATATTTTTCCATGCACGGGAAATTTGGGTTTCAGATAGATGACAGATAGCACGTGCTTGGTATTCGATGATAAAGGAGTAGAGCGTAGCAAGAGGTTTGATGAGATCTCGATATTCCTTCATATGCTCGGACTGCAGGTATCTCTTCTCGCAGATATCCCAGTAGATCTGAACATTGTCAATTGAATCGAAGCCTTTCAGCATCGCCAAGTTGGCGGTAGTACTGCCTGAGAGTAACTATCTGGGTCAGTGGCAGATAGGCAATAGTGGGTCGCCTTGGCTTACCGGTAAAAGCAACGAAACACCAGCCCATGCCAACGCTGCGTATGGTTGAGTACTAACAGCGTTCTTCACAACTGGATCGGCCCAGAGGAGAAACTTGGCCAGTTTTTCGGTCTGCTCACGTATCTTCACGTCCTTTCCTAGAAGTGAGACTTTCCACTGTTTCTGCTCCCGGTTTTCCAGCAGCCGCGTCATTGTTGACTCGACTGACCGCGGATTTGAAAGATCCGCATCCGCTGCATCGGCGGAGTTCACTGAGCTGTTGCGCTGGGCTAATCTCAAGTGAGTCTGGTAACATTCTACCAACTTTGGCTCTCGTTTCTGCAATATTACGTATGCCAAAGCCCAAGGATCGTTGCTGTCACTTAACAAGGTTGGAGTTGCATCAGCGGACGATGAATTAGGTATGTTCTTCTTGGGCTGGGGGAGTCGGGTAGACCTGAGACCGTGGTTGCACTGCAATTCATTGAAGCGGGCTTGGAGATCTTGTCAAGATCTCCAGCACGTCCAGAAGATTGTACATGGTTTTCCGTGATCGAATCACCAGAAGGATTAGACACGTTTGACTGTGCGGTTGCAGGAAGATGTGCCCCATTGATTCCCCTGTCCTTCTTTGACCGTTGGGTTAGACTCTTGAAGCGTTGCTTAAAGCTACCCATCTCCCGCTACGACCTTTTGGACCTTGAGGGATCATATAAAGAAGATCTCAATGCATACAGGATGCTAAAGTTGTCAATGAAAAATATTTTCCAGGAGAACAATTTCCTGTAAGCAGGAGATCGCGGGGCTTAGCTTGGCGGCTCAAATCAAATAGCCAATAGAATGCTCGGTAAGCCAAATCGCTTCCGCGGTCCAGGGGATATGCGGAGCAGCTCCCGTCTAAACCAAACGTTGGAAGGCTCCACTCAGTCGAAACCTACCGACCTGGCTGTTTAGGCATATTAGATGGCTGAAAGCCTCGTATGAAATTGCTCGCCCCGCATAGCATCTGCATTCCCTTCTTTCTTCTATCCTCGGCACGCCCAGTCATATCTACGACACTACCTAGCATCGTCCTCGTCCCGGGGGCTTGGACTGCACCGAAAGCATACCAGAAGCTAATTGATGCCCTGGAGGCGAAAAACCTCAAGGTTTACTGTTCTCCCCTGCTTCTAGAGCTCTGTCATCCCGACCAGAGACGAAACCGGAGAAGATTTTGATAACGGTAAAGAAGATTCCCGCTCCTTGATGCACTTCTCGGTGAAGTTCAGCGCTGCGATCTTACCGGCACGGTATGCGGGGAGCATCGAGTCAATAGTTCGTTGATAGCATTGCTGCTGCACTCCATTTTTGGAGTATTATATCTTATCAAGGAGATTAGACTGCGACATCGCCTATGGACGGGCGGTTGGGCATTGCACATGGGCCTTGTGTAAGCGGGAAATGGGCTCTATGGATATGTATTATTTACCTAACAAATCGAAATTTCACAAACTCTCCATGTAGAAACTTCATATCAGTCGATTCACGATCATTTGGTATCTCGAGAAACTCCATACTTCAAGCAAATATCAATAATAGGTTGACAGCCAGAACGCATTGCACTTTTAGCGACAGTTTTCCTGCGATATCCTGCATCTAGGCTGGCTCCGCGCTCAACTAAATATTCAAATTCGCGAGGCTTTTCTAGGTTGATTGCTATCAGCAAGGTCTGGCCGTGCCTTATTGCTATCGCCCCGTATTGAAAGAGGAGCTCAATCAGAGAATAGCTCTCTTCTCTCAATAGAGCGCAAAAGACTGTTGTAACCGACTTTCCCCTTCTTCCAGATGAGGAGAATTTCGATCGTGAAGCTTTTCCGTTTGGATCTGCTCCATGATCTAACAAAAGCTTGGCGGTACCGAATGGTCGTGGAGCATCCCGGAGTGCACCACATAGCGGTGGATGACTCTCTTTGGGTAGTTGGAAATTAACATCCGCTCCCCGGGACAAGAGGTATCGTATGCGGGCGTCATCACCCTGTTCCGCGGCGTATTTCAACATCCAGTAGAGGTCCAGCGCGGGATCTGGTTTGCTATAAGTGTATTGGCGAAGCTGGTCGAAGAGATAGTCTTCGATCTCATGGTGACCCTTTGATGCTGCTTGTGAAAGCGGATATCTTCCCTCGGTATCGTGTGATAGTTGCTTTGCGCCCAGAGAAATGAGTTTCTGAGTCAGAGTCAAGTGACCCTCGCGAGCTGCGAGGGCAAGGGGCGTTAACCCATCCCGGTCGCGATAATTAAGATCAGCTCCTAAATCGAGGAGATACTCCACGATTTTGATATGTCCATGGGCTGCCGCGTATGATATTGGATGCTCTTTCATGTCCTCAATTTGAATCGGCCATCGGATGCGTGATCCCTCACTTTGTATAGAGCAGGCAAAATACTGAGATTCATATTGAACGTTTGCTCCGGCCTCAATGAGGTATTGCAGAGTCGATTCAGACCCCTTAGATGCTGCCCATAGCAGTGCCGAGGCATCGTGTTCCTGCACATTGCGCTGATAGAGGGGTTTGTTGAAAATCTTGAATAGATAGGAATGACATTCCAGAAGATGATTCAGATCGGAACATCCTAAATGTGTCCCGATTTGTATGAGAAGTTCGGGGGGTAATTTGAGCATCGACATGGTGAATGAATACAGAAGAAAGAGGAAACATCTCAGGGCTTGATCTATGCCGATAGGTCAGCGGTCCACTTTTATAGTGTAACATACGGTACGCCGTACGTATATATTTCGTGACAATGCCTTATATTTGACTGTCATTACTTGGATCGCATTTCTCTTGATATCAGTGACTTCCAATGTCGGGGGTGTGAATGGATTATGAAATGCACGGATCTGCGCTTTAGGTGGGGAAGGGGCTCTCAGTTTACTGCTGTACTTCCACCACCACTTTGCACGCCCTCTCAACCAGCAGGCAAGCTTTGGACTCACAACATCTAGTATATGGGATTCCTTAATTATTCCAGCACGGAGTATACTGTATTAAAAGGCTATCCCTGGACTGTTCTCTGCAAGTTTTTGCAATCTCTAGAAGAGCTTGGCTGTCTACAACGATGGCATGCCACGGCGTAACATGTCTATACACAAGAAGTATTGTCGGATTTCTTAGTCTCTGTAACTTAGCTTTTTATAACTCTCAACTCAATCAAATCTCATATTCCACGATGCACTTTAAAGTAGTCTCCTCTAACAAGTATGAACCAGTTGTCCGAATTGGCTTAAAGCACATCTCATTCTCAAGCCCCGAAGCACTCCATATTGTACATGGATCGAGATAGTCATATCCCAAAGTGAGAAAATCTTGCACCCTGAGGCTCGAGTACCTATTTTATAATCTGATGGACTAAGACCTAGGACCATCCGACTTTTATAAGCCAGCAGCAGCCCCGTTCCAAGGCTGCCCGCTGCTAAATATATTTTCAGTGCGAGATGTCAACTACCAACCACTGTTCGTTCGAAAGGTGTCAATGACCGGCCTATCCCAGACCTTGATGGCCCTGTCGGCGGAACCCGATGCCAGGGTTATCCCGCTATCTACGGTATGTCCGCATGTACCATGTATTCTCGTACGTATAAGGCGAGGATAATCCGCACGTATTCTATGTTAAATTCTATAACAATAGTTCTTATCTCTTGAGAAATTCATTTCTATTCTCACATTCGCCTAGATATATCTTATCTAGGGTTTGTGATTTACACTTCCATAGTTATGTTGTTCTTCTGTTCACCTTGCATATTAAGCGTACAGAATCTGCTTTGCTTCAATACAAGATTGAGAAAAGTGCTCACTCTCTATGCGAAGCTCCGTCCCACAATTCACCCACTGCTCTTGGCGGGCTGATATTACGGTGTTATACTAGCGTGACTTGCATAAAGTAGCGTATATCGGCCGGGCTGGGACGGTGGATGGGCCATTCGCGGATCGCAATCTCTATTATATTATTGAAGATGACGCGTACTCTCTATCTCGCCCGGTTCCCAAATCAGGGATTCAACACTAGCGCCGGGTATAATAGACGGGCTCCGGATGCTATATTTAGTCATCTTTGAACTGATAATGACCCATCATATTTTAGGCAACCAGGCATCGGGTATTGAGATAGTTAGCACTGTGACCCCAACATGTCGCAATCTGAAATATAACTGCAATTCGAAAAAAAGAACCCCCGGCTTTTGTGCTAGGAAACAGCTTAAAACATCCTACTAGTATTTATGAATCCATGGCGGTGTTGTCAACACGCAGCCCAAAGCGTTTAGCCACAGATATGTCTCTCCTGTAGATGTGCCCTGGTAGTAGTCTCTTCCATCTCGCCTGGCTATCCGGCTCCACCAACCTGGCCGCATTCAGTTCATCATCATCGATCTTGTCATAATTCCTAAATGCAACCCAGAAAACGGGAGCAGCAGCAATCATCGTTGCGGTGACGGCATAGTACGTGAATCCTTCCAACGCACTAGCTACAAGAGCTATCCAAACAACGAAAGGGATCGAGTCTACAACATGGGGTAGAGTCTTGACATCGTCCTCGGTTGCATCCCGTCTTTCATATTCAGTGGCCTGGGTATCCATATCGTTTACCATCAGATAAAGGGCAAAATTCCAGTGTGATGGCTTTATTGAACGGAATCTCAGGGCGCTCGAAATTCTCCGTGGACGCAAGGTTATAATGGGAGTTTGTGAGGAGGAAAGAGAAGGGGACTGGATGTCTATGTACTTTGTACTGCTATCCCTAGTCTAACCTACCTCCCACACATTGTAACCCTCAACCAAGACACGGGTATTTCCATTCGGGTCTGTGCCTGGGGTGTATAATGAAATGCTATAGAATAGACCTATGAGACATTGCTATGTGTTTCACTGCGATGATTGAAAGTACCATCCTACGCTATTGCGTAAGATAGCAAAGGATTTCAGGGTTGTTCTCGGACTCCACTCAATATAGTTAAACGTTGTGGAGACCGCGGGAGGTTCTAACCTTAGAGATTCCCGAGGTCCTTGGGCGACTAAATTTAGATGGAGCACGTCCCATATTTCCCTTTTCGGCTGGCGGCTCATTTAGTCTGTTTGTTCGCTTGGACTATGGTCGAGGAGGAGTAGAAAAAAAAATTCGATAAGGTGAATTTATTTCAGGAATTTTCGAGAACTATGTTGTATTGTTAAATATTGTTCAGTCAATTAAAGTAGACGTTCACTCTTTAGCCTCTATGTTGTCAAATTAATATAGGCCTATTAGTCGTTTTGATAATCGCAAATTACTGTCAAAAATATTTTACAGTAATTCCCAATGAAAGCTATGTGGCATTTTACTGGTAAAGAATATTATAAATAACGTGGAACTCCCCCTGGGGCCGGATCTCTATCCCACCTCCAACTACATAAACTATAGACATACCTTTGACACAACTCACGACCAAGAGATTGACCCCTAAAATGGAAGAATCCCTTATCCTCTCCAAATTTGACAACCTTGTCCAATCCGGCATCGTCCAATACGACGATAAACAACAAATCATCGAGCATGTTGATGGCGACCTCAAGGTATTCATCCCTTCCTGACTACAATGCAAATCAAATATCTACTAATGCGATGACCCAGTTCCAATTTGTCCTCACTTCTGCCCTCATAAAAAAGCCAACTCTAACAACTGCCGAGTCCCAACCCGATTCCGAAATCCAACAACCCGAAAAGCGACCAGGCAGCGACATAAGCACCACCGGGTTCGAGCTCGGCACGCTAGAAAGCCACTTAGTGATCGTGAACAAGTTCTGCTTTGCGCGACCGCACCTCATGCTGCTCACGTTTGATGGATACAAACGACAATACGAGGCGCTTGATGAGTCCGATCTAAACGACACGTGGCGGCTGCTGAACTCCGCAGAGAGCGACTACGTTGCCTTTTACAACTGTGGCCCGAATGGCGGATGTAGTCGGCTGCATAAACACGTGCAGGTGATGCCCTTGCCGGCGAACAGTTTTGCTGCCTTTTTGGATTCTCCAGATGAGCCTGAGACCAAGGTTCCATTTCAGTGGTTCTATCGACGCTTTGGCAGTGATTTGACCCCCGCTGCGTTATTCGAAACTTACAAGGAACTGCTGGAGGAGGCGTCGAAGGTGGCTGGGGACTATACGACGGGTGCGCCATCTGGGACAGTCTGTCCGCATAATGTGATTTTTACTAAGAGGTGGATTATCGTACTACCAAGAAGACGAGGCGCTATTAATAAGGAGGCTGGAGTGAACTCGTTGGGAATGCTGGGAGTGATCGCCGTGGCTACGACGAAGGAGATCGATAATTGGGTCAGGTTGGGTTTGACGGAGTCACTGGCAGAGCTGGGAGTACCAAAGGAGATATAATTGACAATCTTCTTTGCGAGTCGTAATGCGGAGGTAGGTTGAGCCGGAAGGACGCGATATGTTAGTACAAGTACAATCATAACTAGGTCACCCACGTTGATAAATATGTGACATTAAACCTAAATATATATGCCCACTGGCAACGGGGTTTAAAACAACGATCTAAGAATAGTGCATCCTGTTATAAACTAATCAAGCTCCCAACCTTTGCGTGACCGCATCCCAGTGAACCAGTCCTGCACATATGCCAATCCAGCGTGAGGACCATAAATTTCCGTTTCCCACTGAGGCAACGGGGCATCGAGTCCAGTCTCCTGCAGACATGTTTCGCGTAACTGCTCGAGACTCCCACCACGGTCATATATGGAGGACTCAATAATCTGGCTACTTTCCATCCGCATCTGGATCCGTAATGCCTCGGTCTCGGCCTCATTTACAGTGAAATCGTCGTTGACAACGGTACCATACGCAATACGAGCTCCCTCAAACGTGACAAGCTTCCGGTGTACTTCCAGAGCAACCTTTTCTGCCGGACGTGTCAAAGGATCACCCAATCCGCCTCCACCCCAAGTCACCCACTCAAGAAGATCACCCGGGTCAACGCGAATATGATCACACTTGGAAGGTAAAATTTCAGTCGGAGGACTGTCTTCGGACTTGGAGTACCGGTAGAGGATTTTGCGGGAGCGCTGTCCCGGCTTTCCGCCCTTCAATCCCCATGGCTTGGTGAACCATCGGTCATCGTGGAGACTGAACTCCCCACGGGCTAGGAATCGGTATAGCGTGCGCTGAGCATTGCCGCCGCGGTAGAATCCGGCGCCACCACTGTCGGCGACGCTCTCATTTGCTTCAATACGCAACGGGTAGTTTAGCTCTATTATTTCTGTGGGGATGGACTTGATGGCGGGGAAGAGACAGTGGCAATCAGGGCCATCGCCGGCTTGTCGTGCAGGTACACCTCCAAACCCAATCTGGTAGAGCTGGTACCACTCCCCATCTGGCTTGAATCCAGAGTAAAAGAAGTGAGGCGAGTCACTGAATCCAGCGGCAGCCTGGTAGGAGTCTTGCTTTTGGCCAATCAGGGCTTGTACAATGTCCAAGGTCCGTCCGAGGAAGTGAGTCCGACATGAGATCGGTGCAGGGCGAACAGGCTTGAGGACTGATCCTTGAGGGATGTGCACATCAATCAAGTCATGGAACCCGTCATTGATAACTGTGCCTGGAGCAGCGGCTGCAATGAGGTAGTAGCCAATGAACATCCTGAACATTGTCTCCGAGAGATAGAAGTTGATACTACGCTCGCTCTGTGGAGAAGTGCCACTCCAGTCAAATTTCAGCCGGTTACCATCGACCTTTTTCATGGAGCAGGTGAGTGCCCAAGGTCCCACACCATGACCATCATCATCGACGAAGTCTGTGAATTTGCTTTCCAGATCATCGAATTGGCGCTCGATAATCTTTGCGAATCCAGTTCGGTTCCGGTACAGCAGTTCTGAGCACGCGGCTAGGTATACTTCACTTCCGAAACGAGTGGCCAACTCGCGGACTCTGGTGGCTGCCATAGAACAGGATGCTACAATGGCAGTAAGGTCAGAGCGATACCATGCCGGTTGGCGAGAGTTTCGACAAAGAAGATCAACCAGATCTTTGTTCATGACACCACGGGTATATAGCTTTATGCAAGGAATCTGCACGCCATCATCAAAGACTGATGTCGCGTTGATGGACATGCTTCCTGGTACGATACCCCCAACGTCTGTCAGGTGGCCAAATTGCGATGCAAACCCAATGATCCGACCGTTGTGGAAAATAGGCAAAAAGGCGATGATGTCGTTGAGGTGGCTGATGGCACCCTGCACTTGGTAGGTATCGTTGGTAATAAACACATCGCCCTCCTCGATTGTACCGTTCCAAACATCGAGGAACTGTGTGATGAAACTGCCGAACTGACCAACCAGCATTTTGCCCTCGCAGTCGGTTATGACATTGAATTCATCCTGCTGCTCTCGGATGGCAGGGGACATGCTGCATCGTAGCATCATTTTGTCCATCTCGCCGCGAATAGAGGCCAGTGTCGAGGATATGAGCGTGGGAATTAATGGAGTGCTCTTGACAAGCTCTTTGGCTGACTCGGCAGTGTGTGTGGTAACGGCGGCAGGTTTCTTTTCCAGAGGATTGATCAAAATATTCCCGATGCTGTCGATCTCACCATAGTAGCCAGGTAAGATGAGTGTGTTGCTGTCCATTTCGGAGATAATACACGGACCGGAAACCTGGATACCCTGCTTGCTAATCTTCTGACGATCCCACAGTGTTGCCAATTTTTCTTCACCTTGCACGATGATACTCTGCTCGCCAATCTTTGCGTCTGAAGGGGGAACTGTTCCTTTGGGAACTTGCGGGATATCAATACCCGGCGAGGCGTCTTCCAACACAACGCCCAGCCTCATCAATTCAAGCTCAAAGTCAGGTAAACAGTAAGTGAACATCTGCTGGTGCTGCTGGTCAAACTTTTGTCGCAACGCATCATGCCATTTCTCAGTAGTCAGGGCCAAGTCTTCTTCGGTGATCTCAATCGTTATCATCAAAGCTTGGCCTTTGTACCGAAGATCTGCTTGATATGCCGTCTTCCATGACAAGGGCCATAGATCACCCGCCGTCCTAGACAACGTATCCCGACACTCTTGCTCTAGCGTTTGATACTGTTCCCGTGCCTCGAAAACAGTGGTTCCGGAGACAATACGGATGAACGTGGCAGATTGCTCGTGTCTAAGTTTAGTGGTCACATCACCCTGTGCACATAAGATTCCCGGAGAAGGCGGGATAATGACAGGCCAGGCCCCAAGAAGTTGACCCACGGCGTTTGCATGCAGAGGACCGGCACCGCCGAAAGCAACAAGTGCAAATTCACGAGGGTCATAGCCCTGCTCCACGGAGACAAGCCGCAAGGCACCATACATTGTCTCGTTGATGATTGTAATGATATCCTCGGCTGTTTGAGTAACCGGAAGTTTCATCTGATTCGCAATATCCTCCACAGCAGCTATAGCAGCATGGACATCCAACGCGAACGCACCACCCAACAATGTCTTAGGCAAATATCCCAGGACCAAATTGGCATCCGTGACAGTGGCTTGCTTTCCGCCCTTTCCATAAGATGCAGGTCCCGGTGCTGCACCAGCACTCTCAGGGCCTACCCGCAGGGTCTCCGTGAGCTCCATGTACGTTGTGATCGACCCTCCTCCAGCTCCCACGGTCTTGATGTCAACCGCGGGCGCCCGAACAGAAAGACTTTCTACAACAGTCTCTCGTCGGAGTTGAGGCTGACCATTGTAAATTAGTGCACAGTCGGTAGAAGTGCCTCCCATGTCCAATGTAATCAGATTCTTGTACGGAGTACTCCGAGCCACAACATCTGCCACTCCCTTCACACCTCCTGCTGGTCCGGACATGAGGATATTGACTGGTAGTTCCGAGGCGAGAGCCAAACTGGTCAATCCACCATCGCTCTTGAGAACCCGAATGGCTTCACTTTCCGCCGCAAGCGCCTTAGACAGATTGAACAGATACTTCTCGACAACCGGCTTTACCAGCGTATTCGTGCAGGTTGTGACCGTCCGCTCGTACTCTCCGACTTCACGGAGGACATCCGTAGAACAAGTAATGGCAATATCAGCTCCAAGTTCCTCACGGACTATTTGTGCAACCACCCGTTCATGAGCCTCGTTGCTATGTGAGTTCAACAGTGAGATAGCAATTGCTTCTGGCTTCTGCCTTGCCAGCTCTTTCAAGCTTCGTCGCAGATCTTCAATGTCAACTGCCGTGACTGTTTCACCCTGCACAGACATGCGTTCTTTACATTGAACGACTCGCTCAAGTGGCACTATAGGCTCGGGTGGGGTCCAGTGTAGCCACGCACCCAGTCCACCTGGGATCTGGGAGCGTCGTAAAGCCAATATATCCTTATGGCCAGCAGTAACAATTAGTGCGGTGCGAGCGCCCTTCCCTTCGAGAACCGCATTGGTTGCGGTTGTCGTACCATGGTGAATGAATTGGAAAGTCCCTGACCAGCCGAATTGCTCTTTGAGTAATTCACGGGCCTTTGCGATGCCCTGTTGGATTCCGATACTTTGGTCTGGGATAGTTGTTGGAACCTTTGCGCGCACTGTTTGTCCATGCGGGGTAAACACGTAAACATCTGTGAATGTCCCGCCAACATCAACTCCGAGTTGATACCCCTTGTCTAGGGGCTCTTGCATTGTGCAGCTTTGGTATGTTTGAACGTTCAATAGATTTGGGGGCGATGAGGGGAAGTTCAGGATCATTAAAATTCGTTAGGAATCATTACCTAAGGTTGGAGCCTGGAATACACCAATGTTATTGCATTTGGGGATACTAATGAGTCCGCTATCACCAAACAGGGGGACGAAGTGACGTTCATTACCTTGTTCAGACCAGTGGGGCGCATATTGCCAATAAGGTGATTCATGCAGGGTGGATATGTATGCAACTAGTCAGGCTCTACAGCCAGGAGGGGTTTGTTTCCACTGAACTACTATAGACTCAAACGCTTCAACTATTTCTTAACTTTCCAGCCTTAGTGATACCAACCAAGGTGATGATGTCTCCGGGGGCGGCACAGATATTAATATCGCGGACAGATCTCTCTTATTGTGCGAGAGGAGCACATTCTCAAATTCAATGTATCACTCAATAGGACCAATATCAAGATGGGTTCACCTATCAAAGATTTACTTTGTGAATTTACAATCTCGGCTCTATGAACTACTAATACTCGTTCGATGTCTTAAAGTTTATTATAATAGCAAATTTATCCCGTAGACGTTCTCTAGTAGCTAACTTAGAGAAGAAGGCGCACAAATATCGTAATATATATGGAGTAGATATTTGATTAGGCATACAAATTCGAGACTCCGAATTTGCTTTCTTGTTAATGTTACTAGAAGCTGCAATAGAGAAAAGGTGGGAAATACTACCCC